GGTGGTCAGCACACAGCCCCTCTCCATCTCTGTGTTCAAAGTTCCCAGGTGCTCCATTTCTCCACATCGTTATCTCTGCCTTCATCTCAGGCATCACTGCTTCTTCTCTGGGTAGGGGGTCCCGTTCTCTGCTCTTATTCCTTGATGGTCCCAGGGACCTCCACTCCTAGGCTGAAAAATTAATCACTCCCCTCGTTGCTACAAAACATCTACCTTTACATTTCCAACCCTCACAGTCTAAGGTACTTTTAATCTTCTCCAACACCATAATTCAAATTAATTCATTCTTCTCTGGTGTTCCTTATTCATTGTCCAACTTCCACATGCATATAATAAGGTGGTTGAAAATAATAAAGTTTGGGTAAGGAGCACCTTAGTCATTAAATTGACATCTTTGCTCTTTAATACTTTAAAGAGATCTTTTGCAGCAGATTTGCTTAATGCAATATGCTTAATGTAAGTACTCGTATCATCACCCCCATTTTACAGGGAATAAAATTAAGGTTCAGAGAGTCTAGATGTCTTGCCCAATATTACTCAGAAATTCAAAGTGCTGAGATTCCAAACAGCCCATGGTTCTCTGCACCACAAAGTCATTTATCCCCAAAGGGAGAACTAAACCTGTACTCTAAAAGGACGGTAAGCCTAAGGAAGTGTTGAGGGGTAGGGAGGAGGGTGCAAAGTCATCTAGTGAGGGTGGCTTCTGAGCTGGATCTGGGAACATGAGAAGGAGTTCATTGTGCAGAAAAGGGAGGTAGCATACAGAGGGGTGTTAAGGGTCATGGAGTTGGTTCCGACTCAGCGACCCTGTATAGGATTTCCAAGGCTGTAAATCTTTGCAGGAGCAGAAAGCTTCATCTTTCTCCAGAGGAGTGGGCTTGAACTGCTGGTCTGGTGGTTCACAGTCCAGTGCTTATCCTACAGAGCTACCACGTTCCTGAGAGGAGTTGCTGGGTGGTGCAAATGATGATGAGCTCAGAGGCTAGCTAAAAGGTTGGAGGTTTCAGTTCAACCAGAGAAATCTGGGAAGAAAGGCTTGGAGATCTACTTCTGTAAAACAAGTCATTGAAAACCTAATGGAGCAGCACAGTTCTACTCTGACACACATGGGGTCATCATGAGTGGGAATCAACTTGACAGCAACTGTGGGGCACCCTCTGTAGGGGGCTCAAAAGGAGTGGAGGTGTGGCTAGAAGTGCCCAGTGTGTTCAGGAAATGGGAGAGCTCTCCTAGGGGCCAAAGGGAGGGAAAGAAGGAGGTGGGAATGAAAGATGAAGTCTGAAACGGGTCCTAGGCTGATTGCTGAAGGGCTAAGGAAGTGGTAAGGAAGCAGGATGAACTTGGAGTGAGAGGGTGCTAGTATTAGGAGTGTACAAGTTATGGAGTCCTGTGGGGACGTCCCCGGAGAGCCAAAAAGCAGAACCTGGGAGGAGACACTTGGTCCCAGCCTCCTCACTCCCAGTCTCATGCCCTACACCCAACCCCACCTTGGCCAAAGGAAAAGCAGATGGTCAGAACTTGCCCAAGAAACCACATCCCTCAGGATGGGTGGATCACCAACTCCCCGGTACTAACTTCTTGACATATTCTTATTTTATAAGCGATGCTATGAGAAGGAAACGCTTAGCTCAATTAGGAGGTCTCTTGACCGGAGGCATTTCAGGCAGGACAGCCAGAAAAGTTGTAGGTGGGTGGGTAGAACTTAAGGATCTTCTCAAATAACCTTAACCACGTTTATTTCCAGAAGCAAGCTGATACCCTCTTGCCCACCACACGTTCAGGAACGTTTCGTTTCACCCTCTAACCGCTTCTGTACCCATCTAGTTTCATCTCAGCTTTCTCACAGCAAAAGCAGAACTGACAGGCAGGGAGCAGGGGGCAGAGGGAGGATGACAAGACCCTCAGAACCTCCCAGGAGACTGCACCTTTAAGGCAAGGGACCGGACGAACGTTTGGGGGCGGACCAAAAGGCGGGGCTTTTTCGGAGGCGGGGCAAGGACAGGGCAAGCCGGGACGAGTGGATCTAGCAAACGCAGCAGCGGGCGGGGCTCCGGCACCGGGCGGTGTCCGTGGCGGAAGATCGGGCGGCGTGGGAGGAACCGGACCGAGAAGGCCTTGGGGCCCGACGGAATCCAAGTTCGCAGTCTGTAGACCTGAATCCGGCCCGAGGTAAGAGGAACCTCCCCGCCCGACTGGGCGCCTCCAGAGGACCGGCATACCCGGAGTTCAACTTCTGCGTCCAGATGGAGAAACAGCACAGGAAACTTCCCGAGGTCTCGCAACTAGAAAGTGCTGCTCCAATATCCTGCCACCGCCCATTCCTTTATAAGTCTGCAAATCTTGCACTGGGCAGGCATACAAGAGGTGCTCCATAAATGCTCACTGGTGAATGAGTAAAAGAAATTGGCGGCTAATAGAGACGCTCAAGTTCTGATGCTGGGGTTGGGGAACAATCGTTCTTTTAGAACCCATGGCTGCAGTCAATCCATCTTCTCGAGAGAGTCTTCCTCTTTTTCACTGACCCTCTACTTAACCAAGCATGATGTCCTTCTCCAGGGACCTTTGTTCCTCCAAAGTTTGTGAGACAAAGCCCCTCCATTTTCATTTCTAAGGCGCATTCTGGCTATAGTGCTTCCAAGACAGAAGTACAAGTTCAGGGTACCAGGGGAGTGAGCATTTATTGAGCCCTTGTTGTATGAAGCACCTATTGTTGTTGTTGTTGTTGTAAAGTACCATCGAGTTGGTTCCGACCCATAGCGACCCTGAACAGGGTTTCCGAGGCTGTAAATCTTTACGGGAGCAGAACGCCTCATCTTTCTCCCGCGGAGCAGCTGGTAATTTCGAACTGCTGACCAGAGCTCCTTAGGAAGCACCTATGGGCAGCATTTATTTCCATATTCTAGATGAGGAATCAGAGACTCAGAGACGTAAAGTGACCTGCCTAAGGTGGAACAGTTAGTTAAGTGGCCGGTGAAAAGCGAATTGGAATCAGGAGTGTCCATTCTAGGTTAGTGCCAAGTGGAGTCTTAAGAGGACAGGAAGAACCAGTGTCTTCTCTTGAACAGATGAGGCGGGAATAGTGGGGAGGGAGGGAACATCTGCCTTCCCCTCTCTTGTATCTTCGTCCTCCTCCCCTCCTCCCATTATCCTGAGCTACCCCGGACATTGAGAAATATCTGTAAAGAATTACCAAATATATATATATATTTATAGTTGTTGTGAAGTTCCGTCGAGTCGGTTCCAACCCAGAGCGACCCTGCATAGGGTTTCCAAGGAGCGACTGGTGAGCTTGAACCAAGCTAGTAGTTCAAACGGCTTTGCAGTCTGATGCATTAACCCACCGCGCCACACCAGTACACTCTCTCTCTCTCTCTCTCTCTCTCTCTCTCTCTCTCATATATGTATATATATATATAATTTCTGGGCTCTCTGGTGTTTCTAGACTGCAAAAATCAAACATGCTCATGGTTTAACACTTAGGAAAGCCAAGAGAAGAGAAGAAAATGAGTATGCTAAATAGTTTTAAGTTTTATTACTTTGGATGGAAAATGAAGCTGTTTTTACCCTGGCGGGGGCGGGCAACCAATGGCAAAGTTCAGCCAGCCCCCCCCCCCCCACCTTGTTTGTGGTCTTCGTGACTGTGAGCAAACCATTTCTCTCTGGGCTTCCCCATCTGAGGGCTTATGATTCTTTAACATCCTGCTGTGTGTTCTTAGAAACTGTGTGCTTTCTGTTCTCTGCAAAAGGGGTGGGAACTTACCTTCTCTGAGGATGACTTATGGGAAGCTGGTGACTTTGAGACTGGCATCACCTGGATCAAGGGAATCCACTTGTGCCTCAGTTTACTTATCTATAAAATGGGCATAATAGTACTCCCTTGGTGGCTCAGTGGTAGCAGAGTGGGTCACACATTGGACTGCTGACCACAAGGTCAGTAGTTCGATTCTACCAGCCACTCCATGGTAGAAAGATGAAGCTTCTGTTCTTGTCAAGATTTACAGAAGAAGGAACCCCATACAGGGATACTATGAGTCAGAACCAACTCGATGGCACGTAGCAGCTAACCAAAAGGTTGGTGATGCAAACTCACCAGCCCCTCCCACAGGAGAAAGTCAGTTTCTTTGAAGATGAACCCGCCCACTGCCATTGAGTTGGTTCTAACTTACAGTGACCCTGTATAGGGTTTCTGAGACTGCAAATCTTTACAGACAGTCACATCTTTCTCCTGCAGAACAGCTGGTGGGCTTGAACCGCTGACCAAAGATTACAGGCTTGGAAACCCTATGGAGCAGTTACTCTGCCCTACAGGATCATTGTGAGTGGACATCTACACAGTGGCCGTAGGTGTGGTCAATAAGGGTTGTTGTGGGGTGAAATGAAGTCCTCTGGGTAACGTACTTAGCCCACTATAAGAGCAGCAGCGTTTGTTAAGTGTTATCCAGTTGGTTCTGACTCATAGCCACCCTGTTTAGAGTTTCTGAGGCTATAAATCTTTGTAGAAGCAGAAAGCCTTGGAGTGGTTGGTGGGCTTGAACTGCTGACCTTGTGATGGTAGTTCAAACCTGCAGAACTACCACACATGACTTACTTTCTCTAAAATGTGATAGGCTAGCCTCCTGGGGTCTCCAAGCCTATCCCAAGAAGTATACTTTCTTTGTTTTGAGGGGTTTTATAGTTGGCTTCACTCCCCACTGAGTCTCCCTTCTAGCCTTGGTATTTTGGTTTCAGACCGGACTGGGGCTCAGAGAAGGACTGGGGGTTTTCATGAAGGTCTTCCAGATGACCATGAAAATGGGTAATATCAATCTAGAATGTGGATTTCCACACTGGCTTTCCATTGGTACCATTGAGACGGTGTTTCCTCAGCGGATGACTTTCTGGCTCCTGAAGGCGTGGTGACAATATTCTCCTTTCCCTGAACCCTGCAGGCCACAGGACCACAGACATTTGAAACTGAAAATACTGCAGAAGGGGAAGCAATGAGTGAACCGGAGGGGCCCATGGGGCTGATGGTGGGGACAGTGTTCGGAATGGAGCCTGGGGGCACATCTGCAGGAGCCCCTATCACTTCCCTGCTTCTAACTGCAGGTGTGAATGAGACCTCTGGGTTGGATGTGAGTATCCAGGTGGGTAACTGGGGTCTGGTGGGGTGAATTTATCCAGTGCAGTAGCTACTAGGTGCCAGGTTCTATGCTGAGTCTGGGACAGACAGCTCTCTGGGAAGATTAGACAAAGAATGTTGTTGTTATTGTTAGGTGGCATTGAGTTGGTACCCACTCATAGTGACCCTCTGCACAACAGAACGGAACACTGGCTGATCCTGGGCCAACCTCACAATTGTTGCCATGCTTGAGCCCATTGATGCTGCCACTTTGCCAATCCATCTCGCTGGGGGTTTTCCTCTGATTCTCTGACCCTCCACCTTACCAAACATGATATCCTTCTCTAGCGACTGGTCCCTCCTGATAATATGTCTGAAGTATGAGAGACGAAGTTTGGCCATCATGGCCTACAAGGAGCACTCTGGCTGCACTTCTTCCAACACAGGTCTGTTGGTTCTTATGGCAGCCCATAGCACTTTCAGTATTCTCCTCCAACACCATAACTCAAAAGCATCAATTCTTCTACTGTCTTCCTTATTCATTGTCCAGCTTTTGCATGCATATGAGGTTATTGAAAATACCATGGCTTGGGTCAGGTGCACCTTAGTCCTCAAGCTGACATCTTTGCTCTTCAACACTTTAAAAAGGTCTTGTGCAGCAGATTTGCCTAGTGCAATATGTCCTTTGATTTCTGGACTGCTACTTCCATGAGTATTGATAGTTGATCCAAGAAGAATGAAGTCCTTGACAACTTCAATCTTTTCTCTGTGGATAAGAATGTTGTTTATTGGTCCAGTGGTGAGGATTTTTGTTTTCTTGACATTGAGATGCAATCCATGTGCTCTTTGATCTTCATCAGTAAATATTTTAAGTCCTCTTCACTTTCAGCAAGCAAGATTGTATCATCTGCATATCGCAGATTGTTAATGAGTCTTCCTCCAATCCTGATGCTACGTTTTTCTTCATAGAACCCAGCTTCTCAGATTATTTGCTCAGCATACAGGTTGAATAAGTATGGTAAAAGAATACAACCCTGTCACGCACCTTTCTGAATTTTAAAACATTCAGTGTTCCCATGTTCTGTTTAAACAACTGCCTCTTGGTCCATGTACAGCTTCCTCATGAGCACAATTAAGTGTTCCGGAATAGTCATACCTCGCAATGTTGTCCATAGCTTGTCAGGATCCACACAATCGAAAGCCTTTGCATAGTCAATCAAGCACAGGTAAATATCTTTCTGATATTCTCTGCTTTCAGCCAAGATCCATCGTACATCAGCAATGATATCCCTTGTCCCATGTCCTCTTCTGAATCTGGCTTGAACCTCTGGAAGTTCTCTGTCAATGTATGCTTGCAGCTGTTTCTATATTACCTTTAGTAAAAATTTACTCATATGGGACATCAAAGAGATTGTTCGATGATTTCCGCATTCTATTGAGTCACCTCTCTTTGGAATGGGCACAAATACAGATCCCTTCCAATCAATCGACCAGATAGTTGTCTTCCAAACTTCTTGGCATAGATGAGTCAGTACCCTCCTATGCCTCTTCACTTTCTTGAAAGATTTCAAAGTGTGCTTCAGTAATAAGTCAGCACCCTGAGCAATTCCAGAGTGAATGGTCAGATAGCTTCTGTGAGGAAATACCATTCCAGCTAAGTATGTGGCACTATAAGGTAAGCACTGAACTGCTAACCACAATGTTGGCAGTTCAAACCCACCAGCCACTCCTTGGAAACCCTATACAGGGGCACTATGAGTCAGAACTGACTTGACAACACTTAACAACAAGCTCTGAAAAGCCAGAGAAAATGACTTCTCAGGGAAGACGGGGGAGGGAAGAACAGTCCCAGAAGAAAGGCTAGCAAGTGCAAAGGCCCAGAGGCAGGTGAGTGAAGGGAAGTGTGTTGAAATTAGATTGGAAAGGTAGTGGTGGTCAGATTACAAAAGACCTTATAGGCTGAGGCTGGGAGGTTAACATTGTTCTACAACAATGGGGTACCAGGGTTTTAAACAGAGAGAAGCCAAAATCTGATTAGCTTCTTCAAGGGATCTCTCTGGCTGGTTTGGGGTGAATGGATTGAGAGGGCTGGCAGTACCAAGGACAGCAATGGAGAGACCCCCCTGTAACCACCCAGATGAACAGTGGTGGGTGTGGGTGATGGGAAAGAAGTGGTGGGATTTAGGGTAAATGTTGTAGGCCGAGTAAGAAGTACTTACTGATGGATTAGATGAGAGATGTGGTTGTAGACAAAGAAGTGAGGAACAGCCCTAGGTTGCTGAAGATGGTGGCGATATTGATTTGAATGGGGATCACAAAGCAGGAGCCGTTGGAATGCTTTGGTGGGAGGCAAGGTTTCCTCCCAGGTTGGGTGCAGGCAGAACCTTTGAGACAGTTGGGAACTTGTGTCATTCCACCCTGATGTCTGTGAGGAGTTGAGAGGTCATAGTGAATCTGGTATGAAAGAGAAGGCCAGGGTCCATTCTACTCAAGATGACTCCTAAGCGCCCCTCCAGTTGCTGGGTGCTGGAGTTCTTAAATGGGAATCAAAAATCTTTTTCTTGTGGACATTAAAAATGTTTAGCACCCACACCAACTTATGATGCTGCAAAAAGCACTCGACTGTGAGGTTGGTTTGAACTGTAAGATTCAAACTCACCAGTTGCTCCTTGGAAATCCTATACAGGGTTGCTATGAGTTGGAACCGACTTGACAGCACTTAAGAACAACAGAAGTACTTTTGTACCCAATTATGCCCATTTTACAGATGGGAAAGTGGTTTGTGGTTAGTTACTTTAAGTATGAAATTGGCTGCTATCTCATGGGGCATGCTCTGCGGGGACAGGAAAATGGGGGTGTCCTGTGGCTCATACCAGACAATCTCTTCAAATGAGCGAGTACTTTTGCCAACCCATTTCTATGCCATGCTCCTACGCCTCCCTGAAGTACTACCAGCTTTTGAATTCTTGTTTCTGATTCAGCTTCTGGAGGAACCTAACCCAGGATACCCTCTGATTCAGCACTTTTACCTCTAGAATGCTCTTGGACAAAAATCCACTCATGTGTGTTCAAAGTCACATGCAAGGAAGTTCAGCTTTGGTGATATTGAAAAAAACAGACCCGCACGCTTCAGGAAGATGGTTCCCTCGGTTATGTACCATCCATAGTGTGAAATTCTGTACTGCTGCTGAAAGGATTCCCAGTGAGGCAAGGGAATGTGAACAAGGGCTCAGGGACCTCAAACTACCTGAGTTCAAATCCAGACTCTACCAGTGAGTGAACTGTAGACCAAGGCCTCAGTCTCCTTATCTGTAGAATGGGGACGATGATACTATCTTTCATGCAAGGTTACTGTGTAGATTCATTGAGAGACATGTTAAATTCCTAGTGCAGTGCCTGGCATTTAGAATCACTTAGTGTATTTGGGCTTTTTTTATCCTCAAGATTATTGACATAGAAAGTTGTCCGTGGTACCTTGACAGAAGGCTAAGTGGAAAAGTAAGTTGTAAAAACAAGAGATTTAGGATGGATCCATTTCTGTTTAATAAATTGTATGTATAATTAGCAGGGAAAAGTTCAGATACTTGGCTGCTAACCAGAAGGCTTGGAGGTTGGAGTGTATGTAGCCTAAGGCACCTTGAAAGAAAGACCTGGCAATCTACTGGGTTGAGTGAAAAATTATCCACATTTTGATTGTATTAAAACACCTATCCACATCTGCAGCTGATGACAACATTGAGTGTGCATGTGGAATGATTCTGTCGAATAGATGAGTAGACAGGAGATGATGTGACAAATCACCTGCAGCTCAGCCAAGGTTCTGCCTGTGAAACAATCCACTACAGACTTGGATTTCAAAAAGTTTGTGAGATGGAGAGATCCCCCTGTAACCACCCAGCTGAACAGTGGTGGGTGTGGGTGATGGGAAAGAAGTGGTGGGATTTAGGGTAAATGTTGTAGGCCAAGTAAGAAGTACTGAAACAACTCATGGGAAAGCAGGAACAGAAGCGTTTGGACATCTGCAAACAAAATTTGCACTGATACTCGAAGGACAGTAAAAGTCTCTTTAAAAAATATACATATTACTAGTGATGAGACCTGGATTCATCACTACAAGCCACAACCAGAGCCAGAGAGTGAACTGCAGAGTATGGAATGCAAACATTCTCAATTTCTGACCAAGAAAAAGTTCCAAAGTCAACCATCGTTGTTTAAATTATTATATATTCCTGAGTGTTTTTGTGTATATCCTACCCCCCTCCAAAAAAAAAAAACACCCCAGAGGGAATAGAAGTAAATATTGTTGAGTGATAATGCTCAGATGAAATTATAATCATTGCAATGAAACAATGGTATAAAATTGATGTTCTCCCATGTAAAGTATCACTCAAATCACAATAAAAACTTAAATTTTTTTTAATATTCTGAAGGGAAATTTTGGTTATGCCAAGTCATTTGGCAAGCACCCTTCCCAGCAATGATCTAAATGTACTTAATAAATCTTCTTTCTCCTCAAAAAAAAAAAAAAAAAAAAAACCATCAGCTGGAAAATTAATGTTTACAGTTTCCTGGGATTCTCAAGGGTCCGTATTGGAATACTATCAGGAAAAAGATTCACCAATCAACTGTGCTCCTTACAGTGAGACACTCAATGAAGAGCTGAAACCTAAACTTCAGATTTCATGCAGAGGACTGCTATCCAAGGGTGTGGTGATCATACATGACAATGCATGTCCACACACCTATGCCCACACTGTTGACACTCTGCAAAAACTTAATCTTGAGGTGTTAGTTAAAGCATCCTGCCTATAGTCCTGATCTTGCTCCATCGGACTTTCACCTGTCTGGTCCCCTGAAAGTAGCCCTTCGAGGATGAAGATTCACCTCTAATGAAGAAGTGAAGACAGCGGTGCATTTGTGGCTTGCAGCTCAGCCTAAAATATTTTTTAATAAGGGAATATGAAAGCTTGTTGACAAATGGACAAAGTGTAATGAAAAAGAAGATTATGTCAAAAAATGATGCATTTGTCTTTTTTTTAAGTTGATTAAAAATAAATTCTACAGAGTGTGGATAATTTTTGACTCAGTCGTACTTTCCAAAATTCAGCCATTGAAAACCCTATGGAAGTGTAATTGTATTCTGACATACAATTGCTGTTGTTGTTAGGTGCCGTTGAGTTGTTTTTGACTCACAACTACCCTGTATGGTGTTTCCAAGGAGCAGCTGGTAAGTTTGAACCACTGACCTTGCAGTCCAGTACTTTATTATACAGCACCACATAGAATACTATAACTTGGAATTGATCTAATGGTAAGCACTGGACTGCTGCCAGGAGGCTTGTGGTTTGAACTCACCAACATTCTGTAAGAGAAAGATGTGGCAAGAGAAAGGTGTAATCTTGGAAACCCTGGGGCGCAGTTCTACCTTGTCTTACAGGGTTGCTATGAATTGAAATGGACGCATTGGCAGTGAGGTTTTTAATATATGCAAATGTAGTGGAACTGCAAAAGGTCTGTAAGGATACACATCAAATTGATCGTGGCAGGGTCTCTTTAGAGAGAGGTAGGATTGTGGAAGGCAGGGGTGTAAGGGAAAATTTAGGAGTCTTCCTATATTGCTTATTTTCTCTTAGAAACAAATATGTATTTATGAATTACTTTTTAAAAAATTCTTTCTTTAATAATTCCCTATTTTAATGGGTTGTGTTGTTGTTAAGTGCTATCGAGTCGGTTCCGACCCATAGCGACCCTGTACAGGGTTTCCAAGGCTGTAAATCTTTACGGGAGCAGAACGCCTCATCTTTCTCCCGCGGAACAGCTGGTAGTTCGAACTGCTGACCTTGCAGTTTGCAGCCCGATTGCATAACCGCTACGCTACCAGAGCTCCTTTTAATGGGTACGTAGTTCTTTTTTTGGCATCCGTTATCAGTTGGTTTTGAAACAGTTCAGTGTTACACCATCAGCTGGTTTGACTACTGACCTCTCCCAACAGGGGACACGTTCCTCTCTGTTCCAATCTGTACTCATGTATGAAAGTGGACAGCCGGCGCCGGAGCCTGTGAGAGACTTGGAGATCAGGCTGGAGAGGGGTGATGTTCAGCTGCCTGGATGGGCCTGGTCTAGTTACCCAAAGTCTGAGCCCCTGATGCCACCACGTCCCCCCTCCCCCTTTCCACAGTGCCGTGATGTGTGTAACCTCAACGTCTCTGACCGCTGTTACTTCATCCAGACCAACCCCAACTGCCGCAGAGCTGGGGGCTACCTGGACTACCTTGAAGGCATCTTCTGCGTCTTCCCCCACAGCCTGCTCCCACTGGTCATCACCCTCTACGTGAGGCCCTGTCCCTAGGGAGCCTGGGGAGGGGGACTGGTAGCCCAGATGGATGTTTTTTCATACTTCCTTTCCTCTCTGGCCTTCCCACCAGATTTTGTGGCTTCTTTACCTGTTTCTGATCCTGGGAGTCACTGCGGCAAAGTTGTGAGTTTGGCCTTGGGATCACACCCATTTTATAGATGGGAAAATTGAGCCCTAGTAGGTTGACATTCTGGGGATTCCCTGGGTTTTGGGGAAGGATGAAAATGTTGCATTGTTGTGCCCTGCCATTGAGTCTACCTCTGACTCATAACGCCAGGCACATGGAACGAAACACTCCCTGGCCATCGCCATGATTGTTTGAAAATTAGACTCTTCTGATGCACAGGTTTTTTTACTGACTGATTTTCTAAAGTAGATTGCCAGGCTTTTCTTCCTAGTGTGTCTTAATCAGTAAGTTCCACTCAGCATCATAGCAACATGAGAGGCTCCATTGATGGATAAGTGGTGGCTATTTGAGGTACAGTGGCTAGGAATTGAACCTGTTGGAAGCAGAGAATTCTACCAGCGCCCCAGGATGGGGTGGTGGTTACTATTCAGTACCACTGAGTCAATTCTGCTCATAGCGACCCGACCCTGTATAGGGTTTCTAAGGAGTGACTAGGGAATTTGAACCGCTTACCTTGTGGTTAGCAGTCCACTGCTGATCACACTAGGATGAGTCTAGGGGACTGGTAACCAGAAGTATTTAATTGTTTGCATTTCTCTGTAGTTTCTGCCCTAACTTGTCAGCCATTTCTACCATCCTCAAACTCTCCCACAATGTGGCAGTATCCTTTTATCCAGCGAGGGAGACAGGGCTGTTTGTGGGGAGGTAGATGAACAGACTGGTGGCCCAGGACGCAGGTCGGCCCTAGCAGACTGTGGCGCATGCACTGATCCTCCTTGACATACTGCCTTCATGGTGTCACCTTCCTGGCCTTTGGGAACGGTGCCCCTGATATCTTCAGTGTGCTGGTGGCTTTCTCCGACCCACGCACAGCTGGCCTGGCCTTGGGAGCGTTGTTTGGTAAGAGCAGCCCCAGCAGGTTGGGGGCTGGGGCAGCAAGAGCACGGAGCAGGGCAGGCTAAGCTATGGTCTCATGTCCAGGTGCCGGTGTGCTGGTCACTACTGTGGTAGCTGGTGGCATTGCTGTTCTGCGACCCTTCGTGGCTGCCTCCAGACCCTTCCTCAGGGACATCATTTTCTACATGGTAGCTGTGTTCATGACCTTCCTTCTGCTCTACTTTGGCCGGATCACGCTGGCCTATGCCCTGGGTGAGAAAGTGTGGGGCTGGTGCACCCCAAGGCTGATGAGTAGGAGGGACAGGAGCTATCGCGGACAGAGGGAGGCAGGGCGGTGGCCAGCAGGGCACAGAGTCAGAATGCCTTTGATTCTGAGTGACAGATCTGGATCTAAGCCAATTCGAGCAAAAAGGCAACATGTTCAGATAACCAAACAGGCAGGGAGATGTTCAAAGTGTTTAGCAAACATTTCAACTGGTCTGCTGACTGTGACCATCAGACTTTTGGCAGCAAGCACTAAAGAAACATCAGTCATGAGACTAGTCACTGAGGGTGTGGTGTTTGACTGCAATTGAGAGATTGGTGGGTCGAATCCATCCAGAAGTGCTGTGGAAAAAAGGTCTGGAGATCTGCTGCCTCGAGTTTTACAGCCTAGGAATCCCCGTGGTTCTACTCTGTCACGTGGCTTGATGGCAATGGGTTTGGGTATTTGTTTTGTTTAAGGAGACCCACAAGGGATGCTGAGATGTTGAGACCCCCAGGAACTGGGCATGGTGGGACCTGCAGGGCTTGGGAGTGGGGTAACCGGAGCTCAGTGAGGGGGCACTGTGCACTTGAGCTACAATCTCTGAGGTTCACAGACCTTACAGAACACACAGCACCACCAGCAGGATGGAGAAGGAAAGAAATAACCCGGATTCTCTCCTGCTCTCCTCTGACTTCTTGTTGGGCTCCCATTGACTGAACTCAACTGTGGTCAGGGATGTAGGGATGGAGTAAGCAGGACAGCCTCCTAGAGCACAGACCAAGTCCCTGAACCACAGCACTCAATGGGATCCTAGAGACCACAGTCTGTTCCAGCCTCCTTTATTGCTGAATTCCCAGAGGCATGAGGGGTGGGATGATGGGCCAAGGAAAGCAGGAGGGAGCACAGGAAGCTCAGGGAAATGGCCATTTATATACCGGAACTGGACGGCCCTATCCCAGATAGTCACTACCAGCAGACAGCACCAGTAGAATGCCCAGTCCTTGCTACCTGGGTCCTTCATCCAGGACACCACTTGGTGACAGCCTGCACCCCTGTCTGCAGGTTACCTGGGCTTCTATGTGTTCTATGTGGTCACTGTGGTTCTTTGCACCTGGATCTACCAATGGCAGCAGAGGCAATCCCTGGTTTACTCTGTGCCAGCCACTCCAGGTAAGGGTCTGAATCCAGCACCCAGGAGAGAGGAGAGAGGAGGGAGGAGCAGGGACTGGGACTCTCTGTCCCTCACTGCCACCTCCACCTACTTCAGATCATTCCCACGGGCCCTGACTGCTTCACACTGCACACTTCCGAGGCCCATCTTCATGCTTCTGCTGGTGTTGTTGAAGTCTCCTCCTCACCTGCTCTTCCACCTCATTAGTTCTTCCTCCTCCATGCTGTTGGTCTGCCATCTTTCTGAGAGGGCTCACTGCTCACATCCCTCAATGGCTCCCTACTGCCCTCAGGCACCTCTATGTACACAAATACATGTGTAACACACTCACAAATACACATGTACAGCACACACGGGCACACACAAATCCATACACAATCCACACATATACACAAATGCACACATACAAATGCATATAGACCACAGAGACATACACAAATGCATACACACATTGATACAAATACCCACACAGCACACACATGTACACAAACATACGCAGCAATATGCATGTGCACACAGATGCACATACAGCACACATATAGATAAGCTCATGCAAATCACACACAAATACATCATATACATACATAAGTACGTGTGCAACATATATGCACAAATGCATGCATAGCACATGTATAACATGCAACACAGAGATACATATGCACATCACACATATACACACATGCACACAAACACAACACATTAATACATACACAGCACAAACACACATGTGCCCCTGCAAATGCACATACACCCCACACATATACACACAAATACACAACACATATGGACACACAGATACAGGCACACAATCACAACAACACACGTGGACACAGATACAGGTACACAGTCACACAAATACATACACAGCACATACAGGCATACACAAACACATACACAAATATATGTGTGTACACATACAACACACATATACAAAAATGCATACACAGCACATAGACACTTGTACACACAAAAACATACACATCACACTATACACAAATACATATACAAATGTATACACAGCACACGTGCAGACAAATCCATACACAACATATACACTCAGCATATGAACATACACAAATACATGTACACACACAGATACTTATACAACACATATACATGCACACACGCAAACAAACATGAGAGGGCTCCAAAAGTTTCCTGCAAAATTCTATTATTTTCTTCTGTGAACTTTTTGAAGCCCACTCTTAGTCACAGTTACACAAATGCTTATACACAATAGACACATACAATGCATAATACTCCCCCCTACAAATACACATGCAAACTCACACAAATGCATATATAACATACATATGTACTTAATACATAACACACAACACACACATACACAAATGCAGACACAATATGCACACTCACACAAATACATACACAGTTCACATACACAAATACACATATGCACACATAATACATATGCCTACATGGAAACCTATACTACAGACATTAACAAAGACACAGATGTCCTCATCCACAAATCCATCACACACATAACATAATTTTTCAAGTGCTTAAAATCACTTCATTCGTTCCTCTTGTAACACTTGGAGACAGCAACATCACTCTCTGCGTTTTAGGGATGCAGACACCTATTCAGGTGGTGAAATTCTCCCAGGTCAGATAATAAAAGAGGAGTTGAATGGGGACGTGAACTCTGTATCTCCAGACCCCAAATCCCCTCTTTTGTTGTTGTAAAGTGTCGTCAAGTTGTCCCATAAATTCATGGGGTTAGCTACTTGCCCCCTTGAAACTGCCCATCCCAAAGGTGCCCCTGCCATGGTGGGGGTCAGGGTTCCCTGGCTGGACTTGTACAAATGCCCTTCTCATCTACAGAGCTGGTGTCAGACTCCCAGGATGACCAGGTGTCTTCTAATACCAACAGCTATGACTATGGTGAGTCCAGCCAGGGTGGGGTGTCAGGACAGGGGAGGGGGAGCCAGGGCCCTAGGAATGTGGCTCTGAACCAACCCACAGCTTTGAGCTGTGAAGTAGTTCATCCACCCACGAGGCACCCAGGTTTCCCTCCTCCTCAAGAGTTGGGTGGACTGATGGACAGCATTGCGGAGAGAGGGTTCTTGAAAGCTGAGCTACCTGTCCCGCACTCTCCCTCTCTTCCTCCCTCCCTCCCCTACACACAGGAGTTGAGTACCAGCTGCTGGTTGCCTACCCGGAGACCACGGCTAACATCCTGGCCCAAGCCCTCAACCCACTGGACTTCAGAAGGTGGAGGAATGAGTCAGCCTACTGGAGGACCCTCAAGGTGTTCAAGGTGGGAGAGGGGAACCTTAGGTACGGGCTACTCAGCCTTCTCTGGCTCAGTGACAGGGGAGGGGCCAGGATCTGTTGTTAATTGTTGGAGAACACATCACCTGGGACTTGATAGGGAAATGCATCATGGGGCGTGGCTGATGACTGAAACTGGGGGCTCTGCCTAAGCACAAGAAGGAGGATGGTGGGGAACTGGACTGAGGTGAGAGTCGGTCAGAATTCTCTAGAGAAACAGAACCAGTAGGTTATATATACAATATATTATTGTTGTTGTTAAGTGCTGTTGAGTCAGTTTCGACTCATAGTGACCCTGTATAGGGTTTCCAAGGAGAGGTTGATGGGTTTGAACTGCCGACCTTGCAGCTTAAACTGATCTTGCAGTCCAGCGCATTATCTTGTAGTACCACACCAGGACTCCCTATGGTGGTTGTTGTTATGTGCTGTGGAGTCGGTTACGACTTATAATGACCCTGTATAGGGTTTCTGAGGCTGTAAATCTTTACAGGAGCTGAAAGCCTCATCTTTCTCCCACAGAACAGCTGGTAGTTTCCAGCTGCTGACCCTGAGGTTCTCAGCCTGATTCATAACCACTAGGTTACCAGAGCTCCTTAGGACTCCCTATGTTGTTGTTGTTGTTAAGTACCATCGAGTCGGTTCTGACCCATAGCGACCCTGTACAGGGTTTCCGAGGGTGTAAATCTTTACGGGAGTAGAAAACCTCATCTTTCTCCCATAGAGCGGCTGGTAGTTTCGAACCACTGACCTTAAGGTTCGCAGCCCAATTCGTAACCACTACGCTACCAGAGCTCCTAGGACTCCCTATAATAGATATTATATTAATATAATTATATATAATGTATATTATATTAATACAATTAACATTTATATTAGTATAATTGTATGCATAATTATAGGAGCTCTGGTAGCGTAGCGGTTACGAATCGGGCTGCGAACCTTAAGGTCAGCGGTTCGAAACTACCAGCTGCTCCGCGGGAGAAAGATGAGGCTTTCTACTCCCGTAAGGATTTACACCCTCGGAAACCCTGTACGGGGTCGCTATGGGTCGGAACCGACTCGACGGCACTTAACAACAACAATGCATAATTATATTAACATATAATATTACAGGATTATACTTTTATATAATATTGCATCATGACATTTATGTTGTTGTTAAGTGCCGTCGAGTTGGTTCCAACTCACAGAGACCTACGTAGGGTTTCTGAGGCTGTATATCTTTACATGAGCAGAAAGCCTCATCTTTCTCCCACAGCAGCCGGTGGGCTCAAATTGCCAACCTTGTGGCAATTGCCAATCTTAGGCAATTCAACCCAGTGCTTTTCAAACAAAGCCACTGCGCTCCCAGTTACATTGACAGGATTACACAGTTATCTCCATCTATGGGCATATGATGATGTTAGCTGCTGTCCAGTCGATTTCATGTCACGGGGCCCATTGTGTGTCAGAGTGGAAACGCTCTAGAGACTTATCAAGGCTGCACACTTGTGGAAGCAGATCACCAGGCTTCTCTTCTGAGGTACCTGTGGGTGGGTTTGAACCACCAACCTTTCTGCACATTAGTGGTCTGTACCATCCATGTGCATCCAGGTGCCATCCAGTGCAATCATTTATAGGGCCTTTAAAGGAAAGTAGGAGGTAGGAAATCAGAGAAGGAGATGTGAGGATGGAAACAATTTGTCGGGGACCCACCTCGACATTGGGGTTCGGTTCACGAGGAGAGGATACCTGATGGCGATTCATATATATCAAGAATACACAGAGACAAAGAGAGAGACAAAGAGGCACCCCAAAGCCAGGGTGGATACATCACTGGTGGGCAGGCCTGGGAGTACAGGCATCGTGGCCTCTGCAGGCAGCAACTCACTGCCCTGCAATCTTTACCGCATGCCTTCCAGCCTGTAATGCACTGCAATCTTTACTCCATGCCTCCCAACCAGTAATGCACTGCCATCTTTACTCTATGCCTGCCAACCAGCAATGCACACCTGGGGAGGCCCGGGCCTCTGTTTTATTTAGGGGAGGAGTTTCACAGCAAGCTGGGAGGGACTAAAACAGGATACAGCTAACATCAGTAATTTTCCAGACATTCAGGTAACTTTACATTGTACTTCACTGGTTCGAATCCCAGGCCAGCAACTTGGATTCTCAGGCCCAATTAACATATCCATAGCACCTGAGGTCAGTTGGGGGAAGGTGAGAGTTCTGCAGGAGACGCCCAGGTGAATGGGCTGCACCTGGAAAAGGGATTAGGGAGGATGGGTTCTTTGTCTATAGAACAAAGAACCGAGAAGTAGCTAAGATATTTTTAGTTAATCCTTTGGAGAAAGGTTTAACCTTGCAACCTTTAGTCTCGGCTTTAGGAAAATATCACATTTATCTGTGGATTTTCAAAGGCTCCAGTGTATTAATTTAATATATATACCTGAATATTAAGATGAAAGCAATTTGCCATTAACTGCCAGTGGCCTCATTTGTTACACTCAGCCCTAGAGGGCCTCGAACCTCTGACTAGTCTTACACGGTCTGCAACAACAATTCAGAAGGATGTAGGTGATGAGCCAAATAATGCAGGTGGCCTCTTAAAAAAACAACAACAACAAAAAAAAACACCCCAAAACCACCCAGCAACCTTGTAGGACATAATAGAACTGCCCTATAGGGTTTCATAAGGAGCTCTGGTAGCGTAGTGGTTACGAATCAGGCTGTGAGCCGCAAAGTCAGCAGTTCGAAACTACCAGTGGTTCCGCGGGAGTAAGATGAGGCGGTCTGCTCCCGTAAAGATTTACAGCCTTGGAAACCCTGTATAGGGTCGCTATGAGTCGGAACCGACTCCACGGCACTTAACAACAACATAGGGTTTCATGGAATCCTGGTGTGGTGCTGTGGGTTAGTGCGCTGGACTTCAAGTTCTGTTTGAACTGCAAGGTCAGCGGTTCAAGCTCATGAGCTGTTCCTTGGAAACCCTATACTGGGTTGCTATGAGTAGGAACCGACTCACTGGCACTTAACAACAACAACAACACAGGGTTTCATTTTGTTTAGATTCACTATCAACACTCATGGAAACAGTAGTCAAGAAGTCAAATGATGTATTACATTAGGCAGATCTGTTACAAGACCTCTAGAACAAAGATGTCAGTTTGAGAACTAAGGTGTATGTGCTGAACCCAAATCATGGTGTTTTCAGTTGCCTCAACAGGCATGCGAAAGACTGGGCAATGAAACATTTGAATTATGGTGTTGGATAAGAATATTAAAAGTACCATGGCTTGCCAGAAGAACAAATCAATCTGTTTTGGAAGAAGTACCACTGGGTTGCTCCTTAGAAGCAAAAATAATGAAACTGGTACTTTGAACATGTTGTCAGGAAGGACCAGTCCCTAGAGAAGGACATCGTGTTTGATAAAGTGAAGGGTCAGTAAAGGAGAAGAAAAGTTCCAGCGAGAAGGATTAATACAGTTTCAGCAGTAACAAGCTAAAAGGTCACAATTGTGAGGATGGTGCATGAACGGGCCGTGTCTTGTTCTGTTGTACTGATGTTCACTATGAGTCGGAACTGACTCTGTGGTACGTAACAACATAAGATTTCCAAGGTTGTGGATTGTAGGGAAGCAGGCCGCCACATTGGCTGGTGGGTTTGAACCACTAACCTTTCCATTAGCAGCCAAGTGCTTAACCCCTGCACCATCAGAGAAGCCTGTAGAAGTTGAAGGAGGCTCAGAAGTGGCTTCTCCCCTAGAGTCTCCAGGGGGAACACTTGATGTAGAAGTTTTGACCCCCAGAAGTGGAAGGGGTCATGATGTTTGGGGCCATGGGTCCCAACCTTGCAGATGCCCTGCCTGGTGCTGCTCACAGCCCGGGCTGCTTAACTTCGGTCAGTTCCGGGCTCCCTGGTGATACCCTCTCATCTCTGCTCACTCAACAGCTGCCTGTGGAGTTCATGCTGCTCCTCACGGTACCTGTGGTGGACCCGGATAAGGATGACCGGAACTGGAAACGGCCCCTCAACTGTCTACATCTGTTGACCAGCCCCCTGTTCTGTGTCCTGACCTTGCAGTCCGGGATCTGTGAGTATTCCCTCCCCAATACTGGCCCACTTTCCCTCCCCTGCCCCAGAGCTCTCTTTTCAACCACGCTGGGGCCCCTGGGCCTTGGGCCAAATCCTGATAGACCACACCCACTGCTGTCAATCAATTCGGTCTCATAGCAACCCTATAGGGTTTCCCAGGCTGTTAACTCTACAGAAGCAGATTGCCACATCTTTCTTCCTCAGAGCAGCTGGTGGGTTTGAACCTTTCGTTGAACAGTTGAGTGCTTAGCCGTTGTGCCACCATGACTCTCTCCTAGACATACAGCAGGTGTTTACTATGTGCTTGTGCCATAATGAAGACCAACTGTGACATTTAGCCTAAATTACAAATTAAATGAAAAATCTGGAGATTCTGATTTCAAATCAAAATGCAGGTTGTAGCTTCTCGAGACCTGGGCCTTATTCCTGAAGGTAGAAATGGGCTAGAGTTGAGAAGGGGCTGCCCCTCTGGGGATGGGGGGTACCTACTGTCTGCTGTCAGCCTCTTCCATTCCATATTGGATGGGCCCATTTCTATGATCTAGCTGATTCCTACTGACATTTGAGGCTCCCTTCTCCTTTTCCACCCTGCACCTCAATGTCTGTTTAAGTCGTGTTCCGACCAGGAAGCCATCACTCACCACTCACAGCCTAGCATCTCTGAAAATTCCTCCAGCAGAGAGGCTTGCCTAAATCAGAGACAGGGCTCGAAGACCAGTACTTGAAGGTGAAACTTTCCCATAATGTATCAGAGATGGGAGTTTGTGCATTTAGCTCCCTCATGTCACTCTGAAGCGTAATAAAGTTTCAGAAGCAATGAAAATCCCCAAACCCAAACCTGTTGCTGTCAGGTCAGTTCTGATTTATAGAGGCCCTTTAGGACAGAATAGAACAGCCCCATAGGGCTTCCAGAGGGAGGATTCAAACTGCGGACCTTTTAGTTAACAGTTGAGTGTATCAACCATTTGTACCCAGGGACTCCAAACTTATCATTGTCGATTCGGACTCATAAAGTCCCTGTAGGACAGAGAAGAGCTGTCCCCTAGGATTTCCAAGGCTCTCATCTTTACGGAAGGAGACTGTCACAGTTTTTTCTCCCATGGAGCAAACTGGTGGATTTGAACTGCAGACCTTTTAGTTAGCAGCTGAGTGGCTAATCACTGCACCACCAGATGTCTTATCAGAGCCAATGAATGAGACCCCCAAATCCTTAGAAGTCTTGATGTGTTCATCTGAGGATTCAAATCACCATTATCTTTAAGATCAGTACCAACTCCCTGGTGAATAAGATGGGGTATGGAGAATACTGGAATGTTTTATCTGTCCTTCGTGTTTTAGTAGGAAGCCTCTAGAACCTTTATAACTTGCTAATAGATTGACTTGTTAGCTGTTTGGGCTCCAAAGTCAATGAGGAAGGGTGTGTCTGACTTAGTCTCCCTTTCATCTCATGGAGGGATGTTCATCCGTTAGTACTGTCTGGAGGAGGCTTCCTCGAAACTCCATTGAACAGAAATATCACAGTTAACTAGTGATGTCTGTCATGGTAGTGGGAAGGGGTAATGGTGGTACGTAGTTTTAGTCAACTCCCTTCCTAGTTTCAATGACCCCCGTCACATAGTGTTACACATTGAACTGCTGCTTACTGCTTGGTCAGTGGTTCAAACTTACAAGGCACCCTGCAGAAGAAAGATGAGCCTGTCTGTAAAGAATTTATGGTCTTGAAAACCTTACGGAGCAATTCTCTGTCCTTTAGGGTTGGTATGAGTTGGAAATTATTTGGTGGCAGTGGGTTTGGCTTAAGGGTTTATCCTCGTTTCACTGATGTGACAAGAAATGGCAAACAGCTAGAGAGAGTCTCTCTCCTCAAACTGACTGGCACTTGAGGGCAGGGACTGTGTCTTTAATTTCCCTGTGTTCTCTGGAGTGGTTTGGGCAGGTCTGGGTATGTACATAGCATTGGTGTACCCAAACAATGAGTTTGAGTAGTTTTCTCATGGGTCTCACCCCAGCCCTCTGTCATCCTGGGGGTGGGGTGGGGCCTCAGGAGGCGGTACCAAGCTGAGGCTGTGGAGGGTCCCAGCGTCCTTTCTCACATCCCTCTGCAGATGGCTTCTATGAGATCGGTGACCTTGTACCTGTCTGGGCTGTGGTGACAATCGCGGGTTCAGCCTTGGCTTTGGTGATCTTCTCTGTCACATCCAACAGCAAGACCCCCAGGTTTCACTGGGTAAGAAAGACTCAGATGCCCCTGTGTCCAGCCTGCGTCTGGGGCAGTTTGGCCAGCATTCACTGTCCCTCAGGGCAGCTGTATCAATGGTAAAGTTGCTTGAAAGCTTTTATGCCTCTTTAGAGGCCTTGTTTTCATACTCACCACAGATACTGTTTTTTGGTTTTTGTTTTTAACTATCGGATTCTCTCTTTTTCTGGTAACAGTGTTATTTTTAACTGGATTATCAGTTTACTTACCATACCTATGACCCATTTAAAATGTAAAATTCAAGGGTCTTTTGGTATATTTATAGAATTACACAACCATTGCCACCATCAACTTCAGAGCATTTTTATCATCTCAGAAAGATACCACTTTGACCATCACCCCCAGTATCCCCAGAGCTTCCAGCCCAAGGCAACCATTACTCCTCGACATTCCATCTCTGTGGATTTGCTTATTTGAGGAATTTCATAGAAATGGAATCATATAACTGATTTTTTTTTTTTTTTTTACTTTCTATTGTGAATTGAGTGAAGGTTTACAGAGCAGATCATCTGCTTTTACACTCAACAAATCATACACTTGGTTTCATCTCAGTGATATGGAACAACACTTACCTCGCTTCCTTTCTCCCTGTGGTTCATGTTTTCAGTCCTCTTTCTTTCCCAGCACTTCTGAATTTTGTCCTGGGCAAAATGCTGTCCTTTTGATCTTGAATCTTTGACCCTTCAGTGTGTGTGTTCCTCCCTAGTGTTATTCTCCTTCCTGTTTAATCCTTGGCTGAAAATTGAGCCTCAGAGGTTCGTTCACTTCCTGATCTGAAGAGTGATCAAAGGTCATAGTCTCAAGATTCCACCAGTCTCTCTCTGACCAGGAAGCTTGGCCTTTTTTATGGTTTTGAGTTTTGTTCCACATTTTCTCACAGGACCTTCTAATGTGATCCCTTTCAGATCAGTGGGTTGTGGTAGCGGGGCACCATCTAGTTCTTCTGGTCTTAGGGTCATGGATACCGATAGTCACATGATCCATTAACCCAAGTATCGTCCATTTTCGTCACATTTCTTTCCTCTGGACAAGGAGAAACCAGTAGGTGTACATTAGATGGCTGCCCATGACTTTTAAGATCCCAGTAACTACTCATTAGATGTCCTTTTGACATCTGGCTTCTTTTCACTTAGCATAATGTTTTCAAGGTTTCATCATGGGTAACATGAATCAGAATTCCATGTCATTTTATGGCCGAATAACATCCCACTGTACGAAGTACTACATTTTGTGTATCACTTCATTGGTTGATGGACATTTGGATTGTTTCCAGTTTGGGACTACCATGAATAATGCTGCTAAGTACATTCATATGTAAGTCAGCATCTGGACATATGTTTTCATTTCTCTTGGGGTGGAATGCTTAGTAAAAACAATAGCTTTTATGTTTTAACTCTTTGAGGAACTACCACACTGTTTTCTGCTATATTAATGAGGAAGCCTCTCCCCCCTTTTAAAGATGAGGAACTGAGGCAGAGTCCCTTTTGGGGGCTGGCTTTGGTCCCATCATCACATTGTTCCCTTCACAGCTCTTTGCTATCCTGGGATTTCTAACTAGTGCCCTGTGGATCAACACAGCTGCAACAGAGGTCGTGAACATTTTGCGGTCGCTGGGTGTGGTCTTTCGTCTGAGCAACACGGTCCTCGGGCTCACGCTGCTGGCCTGGGGGAACAGCATTGGAGGTGGGTGTGTGAGTGCCTCCCTGCCCCCAAGGCCCGACTCAGGGTCTTGTAGGGTTCTGGGCTGAGTTCAGCCTTATCATAGCTTTGGATTCCCCCAGCTAGATTTGCATCTGGCCAGGACTGTCTGGTACATCCCCCAAGTGTGCACTTGAGGCCTACTGTCATTTGGGCATTGAGGGGATGTATCCTGGACTGTACCTGGGTCCTAGCCTCTTCCCCACTCTGATAGGTGGACACTTGGTGACTTCCTAGAGTTCATACAGGACACAGGCCCATTGCAGACACCTGAACTGAGTGTGCACATGGGTGTGTGATATGCAGATATTCACATACCTTCTCTAGCTAGAATTGTCTGGTCAGGTTGGCCAGGGTGCGCATGGCATGAGAGCATCTGGATCTGGGGATATGAATGCCACATGAGTTACATACAACAGTAACAAACAGGTGCTACTTTGTGACACACAGGCAGGAGGCTCAGACCCAGCCCTCCTTCCATTCGCCTCTTGGGTACGTTTCTCTAATGCACCCGGAGGGGCTGTGTGTGCTATTGGTTGGTTATGTGCCATGGAGTCGGTTCCGACTCATAGCGGCCTTGTACAGGGTTTCCAAGGCTGTAAATCTTTACGGGAGCAGAAAGCCTCATCTTTCTCCCACAAAACAGCTGGTAGTTTCGAACTGCTGACCTTGCAGTTTGCAGCCTGATTCTTAACCACTACACTACCAGAGTTGTGTGCTATTAGTAGATGGACTATAGCGGGGGAGGGGGAAATCATCCAACCCTCACAAAAATTGCCTCTGGGGAGAAGGAATGGGTTAGACAGAGTGAAAGAGGACATTGTGTTTTATTGGGCACTGTGGCTTCTCCAACACTTCCAGGCTAGCCTCAGGCTCAGGTGGGGGTTGACTATGAGCGAAAGCTTGAGTGACTAAGCAGGGGCAAACTACCACGCCCCTCTCAAGCCTTTTCTGCTTCCTTGCAGATGCCGTCTCAGACCTCACTCTGGCCCGACAGGGTTACCCACGGATGGCGTTCTCAGCTTGTTTTGGAGGCATCATCTTCAGTATCCTTTGTGAGGACCACAGTGTGGGTTCTGGGAGCTGTGGGCATGCTCTTTATCCTACCCTTGGATTGGCTCTCGCTGTAGCACTGTGGGCAAGTGACTGGCTGCTTGAGCCTCAGGGTCAACCTCTGTAAAATGGGGATATTGGGAGGATTGAAGTGCTTGTACTGGGAGCACCCAGTTGTTGTTAAAGCGTCAAGTAAGTTCCAATTCATAGCGACTTGTACAAAGTTTCTGAGGAGTGGCTGGTGGGTTTGAATCACTGACCTTATGGTTAGTTCAGTGCTTACCTTACAGTGCCACACCAGGACTCATTTGTTGTTGTTAAGTGCATTGAGTCAGTTCTGACCCCTATATAGGGTTTCTGAAGAGCTGCTGGTGAGCTTGAACAGCCAACCTTGCAGATCAAACCGACTTTGCGGTCCAATGCATTAACCCAAAGTGCCACACCAGGAGTCCTCATTAGGTAGCAGGTTACTAGGGTAATGCTGTAGGTGGTAGGTGCACTGCTAGTAGGTGCACTGTGGAAATGTATATATATATATTGTTGTTGTTTTGTGCCATGGAGAGTCGCTTCTGACTCCCAGTGACCCTGTACAGGGTTTCCAAGGCTGTGTATCTTTACGGGAGCAGAAAGCCTCATCTTTCTCCTGCGGAACAGCTGGTAGTTTCGAACTGTCGACTGTGAGGTTAGCAGCCTGATTCATAACAACTACGCTACCAGAGCTCCTCGTCGTTGTTGTTAAGTGCCTTCGAGTCGGTTCCGACCCATAGCGTCCCTAAACAGGATTTCCGAGGCTGTAAATCTTTACCAGAGCTCCTTATGTATAAATAAATATATATATGTATACACACACACACACACACTCTGCAGAAAGCTTTCTTCCTCTTGATTGTAGGTACATGCCATAGTCTTCTGGAGTTGACAGACTTTTTCTTAAAGGACCAGAGAATAAATATCTTAGGCTCTGGGAGACATACAGTCTTGACTGCTGATAGAAACAAATGAAAGGCAGTACATAAATGGATGCATGTGACTATGTTCCAATAAAACTTTATTTATAGGGCCTGATTGGTTTATAGGCTATAGTTAGTCCACTCTTGGACTGTGGAGAAAATGCAGGGGCTGGCAGACTGGGGCTCACTTCCAGCACTGGCGCGTGCCTTTCTGTCTCAGAACTCCCAACATCTCTGTACATAAAGACAGGCTGGGTGAGGGCTGACATCCAGGCACAACACCCAGGACAATGGCTGCCAATAAGATGGCATTCTTCAAGAGGTAGACCCTGTGGCTATTAACAAAAGTACAGGCTGTCTGGGGATACCAATGCCACATGAATTACTTATATACATACAGTAATAACAAGGAGGTGCTACTTTGTAACGCACTTCAAAACTGTATTATTACTGTTATTATGTTAAAGATGTTTTAGTGTATTGGGAAGTTTTTTGTTTTTTCTTTTTAAGAGAAAAAAGTCCTGGTGTGGCACTGTAGGATTAGCACTTGGACTGCTAACCCCAAGGTCAGAAGTTCAAACCCACTAGCTGCTCCTCGGAAACCCTATATATACAAGGTCACTGTGAATCGGAACCACCTCAATGGCACTTAACAACACAACAACGTTAGTCAAATGTATGTTTTAGTAAATAGTGTGCCTTTCTATGCATTGTTGTTGTGAAGTGCCGTTGACTTGGTTCTGACTCACAGCGACCCTGTGTAGGTTTTCCAAGGAGCAGTTGGTGGATTTGAACTGCCAGCCTTGTGGTTTGCAGTCCAGTGCTTATCCTACAGCGCCACATGAACTGTTTTTGACTTCTGTACAAATTCGACTTAAGGACAAGACTTTGAAATGGAACTTGTTCATAACCTGGTGACTGCCAGTCATATTTATTCAAAAGCCCTCCAAGTTCAGCTCTCTGCACACTCCACCTTGAAGGGCCTGCAGTAATGGCATACCGTTAGAATTAGCAGCACTGGGCAGGGCCCCAATCAAAGTTAACCCCCGAGCTCAACGGAACCTGTGGGACCCTTCTGGACCCACAGGCCTGCTCCTGGTTTCTGGGCTGTGGCCTCTGCTGACTGTCCCCTGATGACCTCCTCCTAGAGATGGCCTTGACCTTCACATCATCCGCAGTTCCATTTCTCCTAGCCTCAGTTTCTGCAGCTATTCAGTGCTTTCCTGGTCCCCATGTATTGCTGTCACTTCATCCGATTCTTAGAAATGGAGAGTGTGATGAATGCTCCACACCTACTTTCTTAGGGGCGTGAAATCGGAATTGGGTCTCCTCAGTTCAACAGGGGACAGGGAGGCAAGGGGAATGGAGCCTAAAGAAAGCGATGTTCGGGTCTGGCTATAAACATACTCAGCTCCTGAGGGAATGGGGCTTGGGGCAGGTTGTTCAGAGGTTTCCTGAGCTTGTCCACAGATATCCTGGTAGGCGTGGGGCTGGGCTCTTTGCTCCAGATGTCCCGGGGCCACCCGGAGGTGAAGGTGAGTTACCCAAGGTTTCTGGAAGAGGCGTTGTTGTGATGCTCTCTCCTTGTTTTTGGATCCTCTGGCCTGGGAGACCATTCAGATCCCAGTTCATACTTACAGGGAAAGAAGAGAACTTGTCTGAATTTATGCTTTGGAGAATATTATTGATATCTTATTCCTAGAGGATTGAAGACTATAGTTCTCTCAAACCATGAGCCAGCTAAGGCCTTTGGGAAAGGGGCAGGAAGACTAGATTTCAGTCCCAGTCCTGTTATCTAAGTTCCGTGTGTGACCTTGGGTGAGCCTCAGTCTCCACACCTGGAAAATGGAGCTAATGACACCTGCTAAGCTTCCTGGATAAATGTGGCATGAAGCAAGGGATAGGCTGAATACCATATTCCGACACTGCTGGCATGGGGGATCTGGGATGAGAGAGAACAGCCCATCTATTGAAGCCAGTGCAGAATTAGGAAGGAGATTTGGAGAAGGTTCTGGAACACATTACAAACAGCAGAGCTTCTTAATACTTCAAGGGTCCCCAACAATTCTATGAGACCCATCGACCGCTGTCTTCCAAGAGGTGGGGACATGGAAGCTGCATTTTTAATACACTGCTTTGGGGTAAAGAAGGCCTCTTTAGGAAATAGTTCTAATAAGGATCAGAACCAAGACATCTGGCAGGGCCAGGCAGCTAATCTGAGTGAGTGGAGGGGTTCAGTTGGACTTCCTGTGGTCAGCAAGTCCAATTTTCCTAGGAAAGGTGAAATCAATATACCTAAGGGCAACTTTTTTCCTATTTGCAAAATATTGCTCGGGGCAAACAAAACTCTGTGTAAGGCACTATAATTTACAGACCAAACAAGGCTGGGGTTGGAAAGCAGATGAGGACTAGAGGCTGGTTAACCTGAGCCCCTATGCAGGAAAGCTGAATGTTGAGAGGCTGAAAGATGGCAACAAGGTCACCCACCTCTGTTTCCTGAAGTTTAACTGGTTCTGAGGGGGTTCTTGTCAGTTGACTTACCTGTACACAAAGTCGGCTTACCCAAAGCAAACACACTACCATTGAGTTGATTCTGACTTGTGCTGACCCTGTATAGAGCTTCCGAAGGTTTAAATCTTTACAGGTCAGAAAGCCTCATCTTTATCCCATAAAGCGACTCGTGTGTTTGAACAGCTGACTTTGCAATTAGCAGCCCAGCGCTCATTCTACAGCACCACCAGGGGTTCTTCAAAATCTACTTAAGGACTTGACAGGTTTACTTTTATGAATGGGTCTAGTGTTAGTTTCTAGGGCTGTGATAACAAATTGCTACAAACTGAATTGCTTAAAATGACAGAAATTGACACTCAGTTCTGGGGGTCAGATGTTTGAAATCCAGGTGTGGGCAGGGCCGTGCTCCCTCTGAAGATTCTAGGGGAGTGCCTTCCCTGCCTCTGCTCATTTCTGGTGGTCTAGAGGCCCACCCACGGCCATCGAGTTGATTCCAACTTATACTGACCCTTTGTAGGATGTCTGAGACTGTAAATCCTTACGAGAGCAGATAGCCTCATCTTTCTCCAGTAGAGCTGCTGGTGGGTTTGAACTGCCAACCTGTGACATTCCAAGTCTCTGCCTGCATCCTCACATGGTTGCCACCTCTGTGTGTGTCTTTAGGGCTGGTCCCAAGCTCAGACTCGAGTCTCCGACTGGCCTCTGGGTGCCCTCTGACACTGGAGTGTGGGTGTAGTTAGGAAGGAGTGGACTGTAGTGCTCCCCCCGCCCTCAATGACCCAGCCTCTCTACCCTCTTGTTCTCTCCCAGCTGGAGTTAGACGGACTGCTGGTGTGGATCCTGGCCGGTGCACTAGGGCTCAGCCTCGTTTTTTCCCTCGTGACGGTCCCTGTACAGTGCTTCCAGCTGAGCAAAGCCTACGGCATCTGCCTGTTCCTCTTGTACTTGAACTTCCTCATCGTGGCCCTACTCACCGAATTTGGAGTGATTCACTTGCCAAGTATGTGACTGAGCATATGCCAGAGCTCACCTGGTGGCCTGGGGGTATCACTGCAGGTGGGCACCCAGCAGTTTCCTGTGAGAGGAGAAATGACAACGAAGTTCCTTCTGTGGAGTCCCAATGGGCCTGCAGCTGGCTGGAGAGGACCAGCTCTTATGCATGGTTGTTGCAGCGAAGGTCTGAAGTCACTGCTCTGTGCAAGGTGAACAGCCATGTCTTCTAACTATCAGCACCTAGCAGTGCCATTTCTGATGTTGGCCAGTCCTGCCTGGGGACTTTAGAGACTTGGCTTTGCTATGGACAGAGCTCCAAGGGAAGGCAGGAGCCTTTTCCTGAATGATCTCAAAGCCATCTGGGGAAGGCGAGGTTTGGAGCTGAATAGGATGGTTAGGTGCCTTCTAGGCTGCTTTGGAGTCCTGGTGTAGCACCATAGGATAAACACTTGCCCTCAAGGTTGGTTTGAACTGCAAGGTCGGCAGTTCAAACTCCCCAGAAGCTCCTCAGAAACCCTATACAGGGTTGCTAAGAGTTGAAACCAACTCGACACACAACAATAAGAAGGCTGCTTTTGAAAGACCCTTGAAGTTCAGGGCTAAGGCCAAGGCCCCTCCTAGGGGTGTCCCTGCTGCCTTCCTGCCCACCACCCCACTGGGCCTTAGGACCCCCAGCATCTTCTCAGGATTCACATGGCTACCACACCCGGATCAGGAAACCAGGGTGGTGATTCTCCTGCTAAGGTGGACCAGGTCAAGCCGAGAACAGCTGGGGCACTGAGCCGACCCACAGAATCGCAATGTAAGGCACACCCTCATCCTGAGTTGTCTAGAAGCACGTTCACAAGGCACAATGCAACAAGGACATTACTGTGGGTATGCTTTATTTAACTCCCTAAATCCCAACTATCGTCCCAGCATGTGGTACTGCCTTTGTGAGGCACAGGTCTGTGCCCGCAGTTTCCACCCTGGCAGATGCTCCTGCTCAGAATGGTGGGCTTCCCCAGCTGCAAACTAGGGTCACTACTGACCACTTTGTACCTACCTCAGGGGAGGCCAGGCCTGCTGTGGGGCTCAGGTGGACAGGTGAGCACTCAGGGCCTTCTTGTTACAGCCAGTGACCCTGCCTTTTAAGCAAGCAGCTCTATTTGCCTGGTGGCTTTAGGTTGGTGGTAAAGAAAAGGACCCCCACCCCCAATAAAAAGGTGATTAAATCTTCCGATATACAGGCGACATCAGTTGGCTCTTACTGGTTCTTCCTCCTTGGGGCTGACCAGGGTGGCACTGAGGTAGGGTGAGGCCTGGCCAGGGATGGCGCCCCTCCCCTCCCCCCTCAATTCCTGGCAGAAGCCACGAGACAGCAGCCAGTGTATCAGCAGAGGCTCTTTTATTGATACACTAGATGTCCGGAGACCGTGCTCCATAGGTAGTAAATCACCCACGTACAGAATCTTTCATTTCTCCCATCATCCTTACAAAATGATTGTCTGCATGGTTTGGAGTAAGGCTGGGGGAGGGGAGTGGAGGAGAGGGACAGAAGGGCTCCCCCAAGGGCCCTCACTGTGGCCAGGACAGGGCCTGACCTCCCTTTGGCTTCATTCAGCTAGATGAGGGAGGCCAGCAGCCATTCAATCCAGGGCCCTCGGGGAGTCCACAGCCGGGGGTGATACATGCCCCCTGCTCTGTGGGCTGTATGCAAGTGTGAGACTAGTGAATACCTGAATAGGGCTGCAGTCCCCATCCTACCTAGAAGACCCCACCTCCACTGGTTTGTCTTGGTCCCCAGGGGATGGGGCAGCAGGGAGTAAGATGGGGGCCCAGATGCTCAGGGTCAGGACTCCTGCAGACTGACCCCAAAATGCCCGTTTCAACACACAGCAGCTCAAAGGCACCCAGCTGGGTAAATCGTTTCTTCTGTGGAAAGGGGAGGGGGTGGGGCCTGGGGCTCAATGCCAGGCTCTCTGAAGGCCACCTCCAGGGACGAACGAGGAGCCCGTCTCCTGATTCCCATGGGGACCACGGGGTTCCCTGGGAGTCACCTTTTGCAAAGGGCTGTGCTTTACCAACGTCCACTGTTCCCTGCTGCAGGGCTTGACCTTGAAGATGGCTAGGGGGTGAGGAGCCTTGCTACTCCTCTGGGCACATGCTGCCCTGCCCACCCTGCGGCTGTGATAAGGATATGAGGAGGGAGACCTCGGCCCACCTGCCATTCTAAGTTATGGCGAGCTGGGTCTGGGCCAGAATGCTCACCAATGTCTGCTTTTTCTGCCCGCTCCACACCCCCTCACCTCTGCAGCCTCTTCAGTTCTGCTCTGCCACACCTAGCACTTCTTGGGGAGACAGTCTCAGGGACCCCCACTTTGGATCTAACCTTGTCAGCTACAAACTCCCCCCAGGCACTAGGGACTTGGCTAATGGAGGGTTCATCTAAGCCCATTTCTGCATCCGCCAGCCCTGCCACAGAGTGGTGGGTGACCCGAGGTCCCTGGCCTGCTCAGTGAGGCTGGAGTGGGGCTGGCCAGCTGGGCTAGGGGTACCTGTGCTGTCTGCCTTCCTTCCCCACAGTGGGACCAAACCACACTGAGAGGGGGCACTGCCCTGTCTTTAGCAGAATGCTTCATTAACCCAAATGCCTATTTGCATTGAACAAGTAAATGATAAGGAAAAGGAATTTTGTTATGAAAGCTTATTCCAAGGCTGGTTGGGGCCCTGGCCTCTTGCCTGCTGTCCTCCTCCTGGCTGGGCAGAGAGGCCTGGGTTCCCAAGGAGGCTATTTGATAAGGATATTCAGTATCCAGGACCTGGTTTGGGAACAGAGGAGTACAGAGGCAGGGGAGGAGGCCTGTTAGTGCTGTGTGGGGTCCATGCCGGCACCCTGCATCGCGTGGACACCATTCCTAGGATCGTCCTCCATCAGGACAGGCCTGTCCCACCTGGCTCTCCTGCCACTTTATCACACACACAAACACTGGCCTTGGAGAAGTGGTTTTGTTCCTAAAGTCAGACACTGACTCTGGGTCAGGGGTGGGGGCAGGAGGCTGCCAATGGTTGGTCTGAAAGCAGCATGGATCTGGTCTGTGGAGTACTAACCCACCTCCCAGTTCAGCCCTGCTGTGACAGGGAGGATCTCTGTGAGTGGGCTTCCTGTAGTAGGCTTCCTGTGGTGAGGTGCTCTGACACCAACCCCCTCACCCCAAACCCAACTGGCTTCTGGAGTTAACAAAGAACAGGGCAAAGTGGTTATGAACCAAAGCCCATTTTGTCTGTCTTTTTCCTTCTACATATAAATATGTGCATATATGTGACTATGTGCATGTATGTATACACACGTATATACATATGCACACATTTCAATGCATCGTACTAAAATGATACTAGTGTGTTATTGCATAGAAGAAATGGCTTTCACGAGCTGTGGCTAGCTGATGGTCTGGGACCGCTGGCGGCTGCCTGGGGGCTGCTGGGGGCCGGGGATTCCACCGCTGCTACCAAGCTGTCGCTGCTGCTCCTCTTGCTTCCGGGCGTGCTCCGCGTACCACTCCTGGGGCAGAGAGCGGGAGGGAGGTACTGAGTGGAATGGGCAGCCTCAGACTGACAGCAGGGCTAGACTATCCAGCCACGGTCGGGGGCAGGGTACAGTCCAGGATAGAACCGGCAGAGCTGCTAGCCACATCTCCCTGGGACCTCCATTCCTAAAGGTGACTTCCGGGCTCAGCTGACAGTGGTCTTGGTGGATGGTCCCATACTGCCCGGCTGAGCAACTCTTCAGGATTACAGCTCAGCAGGAGTGAGATTCCATCCCGGGACAGGAATGGCCCTGCCATGGGGGCTCCTACCTGGATCTCCTCTTGGTACATCTTCAAGCTCAGATCACTCTTGGTCCTGGATCTCCGTCCCAGGAAAACCACAGAATTTTGCTAAGGAAGAGCACAGGCTATAGGACCCTCTGCGGCAGCCCCCAAAGCCTGACCCACATGGGAGGGGGCAGACTCTGGGGAAGGGACGACACCAAAGCTGAAGCCTGCCCAGCTCCTCACCTCGTGCCTGTCCATCTGGGAGAGGGTCTTGAGCAGCTGGGCAGTGTCCAAAGCGGATCCTCGCGCCTCCCGGCGGAGCTGAAGGATGGCAAGAAGCTCTTCCCTCGATAGTTCCTTCTCCAGAGTGATGCCACTGTCCACTGTGAGAAGGGTGGATGTGGGAGGGGGTCCAGGCTGGGGACCGCCGACCCACCTGGGCTTGCTCAGCCCTCCTCCCAGTTCTCCCTCCCAGCAGAACCCTGGGTCCACATGGTGCTCCCCCTGCCTCACTCTATCCTGAACTCATAATCTGTCTCCTCCCTCGGCTCTGGGTGCTGAGAAAATGGCTAATACACAGACAGCTTGTACCTCAGCGATGTGGGGACAGTTAAGCATTCAGCCGCTAACCAAAAGGTCAGCAGGAAAAAGACTGGGCCACCTGCTTCTGTAAAGATGACAGCCTAGAAAACCCATGGGGCAGTTCTCCTCTGTCATGTGGGGTCACTATGAGTCACACGACAACAATAGCAATAAAGAACAGATACCAGGTGGGGCCACGCTGCTGAGGAGTCTGAAAGAAGAAAGGATGGGATGTAGAAAGTTGTGCACCCAACGATTCAAGCCAGGAGAAATCGGTAGTGCTATTTGACTCGGCAGGGAACAATGTGAACTCGGGTAATTCAGATACAGCCCATGGACACACTGCTTACAAGAGTGGACCTAACACCTAAATGAAGATACAGTGGGGAGTGCAAAGTCTCTGGGAGAGAGACAGGGGTGGGGAAAGGTAGGGTGGTCCGACTAACCAACCACCCAGTTTCCATTGAATCGGCCCTGACTCACGGTGACCCCATGTGTGTCAGAGTGGAACTGTGCTCAGTCAGGTTTTAGATCACCAGGCCTTTCTTCTGTGGCACCTGGGTGGGCTCAAACCTCCAACTTCTTACTTAACAGCTGAGTCCATTAACTTTTTGTACCATGCAGGGACTCAAGGTAAGTCAAGGTATTGCTATTTGTCTTTCTCTACAGTATGCTTTGTCTAACAATATGTGTATTTTTGTTGTTACTGCTTTTAAAACTAGATCTTACAGCATAGTGTATATTTTTGTTGTCACTGCTTTTAAAAATAGTTTTCTGTCGTGAACTATTATTTGAAAATCAGTACAGAGAAGAGATCCAGCAAGACAAGCCAGACAGGTGAGTGGAATTGCCAGAAGGCTGGACCACCAGACAGCGGAACCGCTAGACCGACAAAGAGACAGTGAGTCTGCGCAGACCTTCCGAGTCCTGGTTCTTGCGGCTGTAGTTCATTCGGAAGACAAAGGCCTCGAGGATGAAGGCAACGATGATCGTCATCACCACCTGTCCAGGGGAGGGGTGAGACGTGGGTGCTGCTCTAGGGGGCTCACAGCCAGCGAGCAGCTGGAGGTGGGAGCGCCCAGAACCTACCATAGTCACGATGTAGAAGATCATGAAGTAGAGACGGCTCCAGTGGGAAGTCTGAGAGGTGACACCTTCCTGGGGACAGAAGGAAGTCACCCAAAGTTAGGCGTCACCCAGTTGTTTACAGACCCCAGCAAGCACCCCAAGATGCTGGATTCAGGATGAGCCCCAACAGTCTTCACCCGAGAGGTGAGGGGACACAAGAAGCGCTAAGCCATACAAGGAGGAACCCTCACCACTCTGCTCCTTGGTGGGAAGGACACCCCCAGTGGCAGGACACAGGACAGAGCTTCAGGCTGCTGACCAGTGCATGGGGGTGGGGGGAAAACCAGTCCTGCGAATGCGACCAGGCCCCAGGCTCCTGGGATCCTGCACACACCAGCTCAGTCTCTCTGGCAGATTCTGGACCCCAACCCTGCAGGGTCCAGGACACATGAGGCAAGGGTGACCCAGAGCTGGCCCCAGAGGATGGTGGACATGCCCACGAGTGGAGCGTGGTTCTTACCATGATGATGTACCAGTTGTTGACAACTGTGAGCTCAAACAAGGTCACTGCCAAAGAGAAGGGAGGCAGATCAGGCCCACTTTCTCAAAGTCCATTCTTGGTAGCCTCTGCCCACCTACTGTCTGTGCCGGGCACCAAAATGATGGCGTCTCCCCCGTCAGCCCCCTCAGCTTCCAGGAGAGAGCTGCTGCTCCCACTCACAGCCCGTCCCACTCCACACCCATTCCAGGGGCTGCTACCAATGTGGCCTCTCCTCCAAAGGCCCCCAAAGGTGACAGACCAGGGATGTACCTCAGGGGCACAGGAGGGGAGGACTACAGCATTCAGAATGCACTGGTACAGGTCGAGGGTACATTGAAAGTACCCCTGTCCTTGGAGCAGAACTGAAGGGAACTGAGTTTGGGGGAGCATAGCACTGTGCAGTGCTGGTGTGGTTGGTCCCCACCCTGAGAAAGAGGCCACACCCCTCCCACGTGGGAAAAGTACAGGAAAAAGGAGTTCTGGGGGAGCAGGAACCTTGTAGGCTGGCCTGGACTCCACCCCATGGAGGAAGCAGGCCAGGTGTTCTGCTACACAGGCAATGTCCCTGGTGGCTTCACAACTCACCGAAGCTGTTGAGGACATTGTCGAAGTTATTGAGATAATAGTAGCCTTCCTCCACCATGGTCTTGTTGCCCACGGTGTGGTTGACCCAGCGGTAGGCATCCGCAACAGTGCTCACACTAACCAGGGAGCCAGGAGGTAGAAGGGAAGGTCAGAAAGCAATTTTTACCTCAACATAGGTCAGCAAGTCCCAGCGGCCCAAGCTGGGCCCAAGGCTAGCTCACCCCTGGCTCCGGGTCCTCCTCCCTCTAGCTCTTCCAACAGTCCTGGCCCCTCCCACCGGTGGCTTGCCTCCTGTCATCCGCCTTCACCCATCTTCTTCAGCTGGCTAGACCTCAGCTCTCTGCTACCAGAGGGAGCGCAGCTGGGGAAGACTAAGGCAAGGACCTCCTCGGTATTTCCCAGACTGCTGTGCAGGAATCTGGTGAATGGCAGTCTTCACCCTTGGTCTGTCAGAGGCTGCCCGCATTTTTAGGCCTTATGGGCCACTCTCCTGCCAAAGCTTTAAGAGCGCTTTGTTTAAGTCCTTTCCAATGTTTCTGAAAGTCTAATCTTTGGACCACTGGGAGCTGGCTCAGAAGGCCAAGTCCAGAGGTTGTGTCACAGTTTGCCTGGGACCTGGGAAGCTCCCCTGGTGATTCTGATGCCCTTTTATAGCCGGTGAATCGTGGGCGAAGCCTCCGGGCTCCTATCAGTGGGATACACCAAATGGCTAGCGGGGCCTCTGGAGACTTTCATCTTCAGTGCGTGAGGCTGCAGGGTCAGGCTCAAGGGAGAGTCTGGTGGGTGGACGAATGACACGGGTCCCTGCTTCCACTGGTCACTGAGGAGGAGTGGGGAACAATCCTGGGCCCAAAGACCTTCATGCTGTGTGTCCGTCTGTATTATCCTGACTGCCCAGGGGAACGTGTCTCTGTTCAGGTTCCTAATCAGTCCCAGAGCAGGGACAAAGATGCTATGGAACTCAGGCTCCTCTGGGCTTTGGGGCGGCCTTCACCCACCCTCAGTCCTGCTCAGGGGACGGGAGATCCTCTGACATCTGTGTGACTTAGGCCCTGACTGAGCACCTCCACTTAGCTACGCCTTAAAGGCAGAGCAAGGCTTTCAAGGTCCTGAGGCTCAGGAAGTCGGGTCCTCAAGGATGCTGGGGCTGGTCTAGGGCACAGGACACCGGGCTGGGGTGGCCGGGCTGAGCAGACTCACTTGCAGCAGTTGGGGTAGAGGATCCCATAGAAGAATTCCATGCCCACGATGGCGAAGGAGTAGTAGAAGATGAGCAGGGTGAGGCCCAGGCTGGGGAGAAGGTCAAGAGGGCTGGGGTGAGTGGCGGGCAGGGTGAGTTGGCCGGCAGCCTCAGAGCCTGCACTGACTGTGGACAGACATGCCCCTGGTATGCCGCCTAGAACGCATCTGCAGGGGAGGGGCCTCACCATTCAGGCTCTTTGAACAGATGCCCCTTTCACCAGAGACTTGTCCCTTACCTGTGAAGGTAGACTCACAGGTGATCCCTTACCTGTGAAGGTAGACACAGGCGGTAAATGAGGTGACAGCTCTTTGCCCACCCTACTAAGCATTCCAGATAGGCCTTTGGTGGGCGGGAGCTTGTCCTCCTTGAAGACCCACCAGGTCCTTGGTTTTGGTCCTTCTTGGGACTCCCCTCCCCCCACTCTGCCCCTGGTCCCCCCAGCCCCCCGAGGCCCAGATTGGGGCCTGGAAGCAGGCAGTACCTGGCCATCCGTGGCAGAAGCTCAAACATGGTGTCCAGCACATTGCGGTAACGCTTCTTCAGTTTAAATAGCCTGAGCAAGGAATAAACATGCGGCACTTACAAGACGCAAGGGTATGGCCTCGGCCGCTTCCCACAGAGCGCTCCAGAGCCCCATGCGGCTCCACATCACCTTAGTGGGGTACAGTTCTCTGCCCTTAGAGGGCTCAGGATGCCAGCCTGGGACATGGCTGAAGAGGCCCTTCCCTAAGGGACGGCAGTAAGCCTGTTCCTCCTCACTCATCTGAGCGTCTGAGTCAGGTGAGGGGGTGGCCACAGTTCACACATGAAGCCAGGAGGCTCTGTGTGAGGCAAGGCTGTGGGGTAGTGGCCCTGAGGCAGAAGAATCAGGTCCCTGCACCCAGAGAGGGGTCTGTGGACTCAGTGTAGGAAAGGGCTGGCAGTGTGGATGACATCAGACACTAGGGCCCAGTCCTTAGATCACCAGCACTGCAGAAGACCCCCAGGACTACCACCCACATCTGCATCTTTCCTCCCACAAGGAGAGGACAGAGAGTGGATGGGCTGAAAGAAGATGCACGCCACTTCAGCAGGTGAGGTCCCCTTAGTAAGAGATGCCGGAAGACACCTTCTCAGAACACAAAAGGTGAGGCTAGGTCAGAAAAGCATCAGACACGGGCCCTGGAGGGCCTGGGAAGTCTGGTATGTTTGCGGCTCCCTCCCTAGGCAGAGTGCCCTCCCAGGTGAAGACACAGTCCTCCGTGGGTCTGGCAGTGTGGTGGGCTTGCAGTCCTTCCCACACCAGCTCCCAGGCTTTCCTCCCTCCGTCAGCCCTGCCCCGTCACCTCAGCAGCTGGAGGGGACGCAGGACCACTATGAAATAGAACGGCTCCATGTTGAAGGCCAGGGCCAGCAGTCCCAGGAAAGCGAATGCAGTGACTGAGAAGTCAAACCTGGGAGGGAGAGAAGCCACAGCCCTTTTGGTCTACCCCAAGCCACGGCCCCCGAGCACACACCCTTCCATGGGTCGCAGAGGTGGTATTGTTGTATGTCACCGAGCCAGTTCTGTATAGGGTTTCCGAGGCTGTAAATCTTTATGGGAGTAGAAAGCCTCATCTTTGTCCCATGCAGTGGCTGGAGGATTCAAACTGCTGATGTTGGTATTAGTAGCGCAACTTGTAACCCACTGTGCTACACCAGGGCTCCTAGATATCACCCAGCAAAACCCACAGGGCAGGGAGCAGTGGCCCACAAGCCAGTTCCGAGGTTCACTTGGCCTAGTCCAGGCTCAGCACCCATCTCAGGGTTTGGATCTGGACTCAGGCCTTCCTCCTGACTGCAGCAGTCACGGCCAGAGAGCACAGGGCCCGGTCTCTGCAGAGCCCAGCACGGGTCTCCTCTGGACGTCAGCTCTGTTGCACTCACAACCTACCTCTGTCTGCAGGTAAGAGTCCCACCTGGGAGGTATGAGTCCCATACCTGTCTGCAGGTATGAAGGACTTCTGCTCTTCAACAGACAGACATAAGACCTTGCAAACTGCAAGACCCTCACCCCTATGCCTCTTCCAGGACTCTACTTGTTAACTTGTTTTAGCATCATGAGTCTCACCTGGCTGCAAAGGTGAGTTCATGCTAATGGGCTGGGAACGTAACCTCCTGAAGGCAGAAGGGCCGCTTGACCTCCTCCTTGAAGGCACCAGCATGCTGCTTATCAAGAAAGCTTTGGTGGGACTTTCTCTCCCCTCTGTGCACATTTACACGTGCCCAGGCCCAACTGTGCTTGTTGGGAGGAATAGGCAGTAAAGTGACTGTGGTGGGCACAAGGGACCCCTAAAGAAGCTCCAAGCCTGAGAAAACTCAGGAGGAAGTGGCCTAGCCCTGAGCATTCCTGGGCCTCACACAGGTACTTGGGGGACAGGGCCCTAGGCCTGTCCTCACACCTCCCTCTTTAGTCCAGAAACTGGGCACTGTGGGTGTGTGACCACCAGTCACCTCAGACCCAACTGAGCAGCAATGCTGTCCACTTACAGGTTCCATCCTGAAGACAGATACTCAATGGGGCCCAAGCCAGCAACTTTCAGGAATAACTCCACTGCGTAGACTGTGAATGGAAGGAGACGACAGATGGTCAGCGTCAGTACCTACTACATCCTCTCCAGCATAGGCCGTGTTTCCGCTGCACCACTCACTTCCACGGCCTCCAGGAGGGCACAGTGTGGGCTACCAGGGGCAACGTAAGGAAACAAATACTGCCTCTCCCTCTACGGACATGGCCTAGTCATCCAAATGTCCATCCAATCAGTACTGGCCCCGTCCCGGGACACAGCACAGCGCCTGGTTCCACAGAGCGCACAGCCTGGTGGGAGGAAGGCAGGCAGGCAAGTAGTGACTACGGTACAGCATGTTCAGAGGTCTTTAGACTTAGCATCGAGCAGGGAGGGCTGGCAAAGGAGGAAGGTGCCAGGCACAGAAAACGGCATGTGCAGAGGCCCAGTAAGGGAAGGCGCGGGGCACCTGGAGTGGGTCACTGTTCCAGAAGGCTAGTCTATGAGGTGAGGGCAGTGGTACTGGTAAAGGTAAGGCTGAGGAGGTAAGATGGAGGGTCTCGGCCGGCAGGCAGTGTGACACACTAGGATCAAGACTGGGGCTACTATATGGTTTGAAAGCGGAACGGGATGGGATCAGAGTACATTTCTGCTCCTTTCTCCTTAAGGTTCTGTGTTTCAGAGATGAGCCCTGAGCTTCTAAACCAAATGCAAGTTCTCCTATGCAGTGTCTGCCACTTACTCGTGAGAAAGACGAGGTAACTCCAGGGCACGTGTTTGGAGAAGAAATTCCCATCTGTGCATGAGAGAGAAGGCAGAGTTCAAGGGCCAGCCCAGAGGGCCAACAGAACACAGCCAGTCCCAGCTGGGGCTCACCTTTCAGCATGAAAGTTTCCACCAGGATCCAGATCCCATTCACAGCCACCACCAAGTCTGCAGACACACAGAAAGGGCAGGTAGGCTTGGGTAGCTAGGTACAAGTGCAGGCCCGGGGGAAGTTCTGGCGGGTGCAGAGAGTAGGGCTGCAACCGCAGGGTTGCCCCAACCACCCACTTTGATAGAGTTTCACCACTAGTGAGCTGGGTCAACCAGTGGTTTCATTTAGAAGAATGCTATGCACAGGCATACTGAGCTCTGTATTACTGCATTCGTATATATTGTGTTTTGTTTTTTTTTTAATAAATTGAAGGCTTGTGGCAAACCTGCATCTCCCAAGCTGATCGAAGCCATTTTCCAACGACCTGTGCTAATTTTCTGTCCCTGTGTCACATTTTGGTTCTACTCATGTTTCAAACTCTTTCCTAATGCTCCTGGACCCTTAGGCTCCCACGGTCGGGGGTTGATTCCAAGTCACTGAGACCCTATTGGACAGAGAGCTTCTCCTTAGGGTTTCTGAGGCTGTAAGTCTTTACAGGAAGCAGACAAACTCATCTTTCTCTTGCTAATAAAATGCAGTATTGTATAAACATAACTTTTATATGTACTGGGAAACCAAAAAGAATTCATGTGACTTGCTTTACTATCATACTCACTTTATTGTGGCTATCGGGCCCTGAGCATGCAGTATCTCTGGGGTATACATGCATTTCTAAACACCCCCAATGTCACTCTGGGGATATAGGCTAGGATGTTCCTGCAAACTCTACAGATAACGCCAAGTCAGTATAAAAGATGGGCAAAGGGAAGGGTTCAAGTACTGAATGCATTTGCTTTTCCCTAGAGAAAGATGTCTTTGATGTGAAAAGGAACTCCTTAGCAGAATTGCAAGAACAATCTTCACCTTGCAAAACCCACGTGTAGGGACCTATACTAATACTCACTAGCAAAACTACAGAGAGATGTATATGCAGAGCTCTTGACCGCAATACTATTGCATTAGTGACGGTGTTAGTGACCGCTGCTTTCGTGGGTGTTGGTTGTGGATCCAAGAAGACCAGACAGTACCATCCATAGGGGGTTAGACGAATCAAACATGGTACATTCACAAAATAGCTCTGAAAGAGGATGAGGAACGTCCCTATGCATTTAGATACTCTATGGGGCCCGAGCTGAAGACTTTCAGGAACAGATCCACTACACAGACTGTGAACTGAGGAAGGCATGGTAGAAAAAAGTGCAGATTCTGGAGTATGCTATTGTTTATTTAAGGCAAGGAGATGTGGATTCATGAGTATATGTCTCTATTTATGTTAAAACACCACCACTCGTTTGCCACTTTGTTGCACTGTTGTGGCTTGTGCGTTGCTGTGAGGCTAGAAGCTATGCCACGGGTATTTTGAATGCCGGCAGGGTCATCCGTGGTGGGCAGAGTCCAGCTGAACTTTCAGAGTAAGACAGGCTCAGAAGAAGGAGAGGCGGATGACTTCCGAATGTTTAGCAGTCAAGAAATCAAATGGCGTATCACATTAGACCAATCTGCTGCACAAGACCCCTTTAATGGGTCCAAGAGTAAAGATTTTGAGGACCAAAGTACACCTGAGCCAAACCATGGTATTTTCAATAGCCTCATATGCATGTGAAACTTGGACAATGAATCAGGAAGACCATGGAAGAATTAAGAATTGATGCATTTGAGTTATGGTGTTGGACAAGACTATTAAAGGAATTAGAACAAACAAATCTGTGTTGGAAGAAGTAAAACTAGGGTGCTTCTTAGAAGCCAGGATATTGAGACTTGGTCTCTCATATTTTGGATATATTATCAGGAGGGACCAGTCCTTCGGGAAGCTGTCGCATGCTTGGTAAAGTGGAGGGGCAGAGAAAAAGAGAAAGACCCCCAGTGAGATGGGTGGGCACAGAACAGTGGGCTCAAACAGCAACAATTGTGAGGATGGTGTACGATCGGGCAGTCTTTTGTTCTGTTGTACACAGGGTCGCTGTTTGTTGGAACCAACTTGATGACACTTGACAACAACAAACAACATGTTAAAACAAACCAACAAAAAACATCGAAAGATAAGCCATGAATAAAGTTACCCCATTGGTGATGGCGATGTAAACTTTGGAACCGTGTATTAAACATAAGCACAAAACTAAATGTAAACAGAAATCTCTAAACATTAAAAAATACATAAATAAAATAGAAACCTAATTGTAAGTCCAGTTGGTGAGAGCCCCACCATTCCAAATGACCTTAAAAATCTAGTGGTCTGAATTTGCAGCCTTGGACTAACAAGAGCTAAATTGCAAAAAGGCCTTTTTAAAAAAAAAAGTACACTTTCTAGTAATGTTATCAATGGGCTTGTGTTGATACTGTTATTCTGAGACTACTGTGTATACACACAGTAGGGATAAAGCAAATGAGTGGCTTTATGAGTGTGCTGGGAACCTGGGTTTTCAGTGTATGAGCAAGGAGGTACATTTGTACAAGACGTGATGAAGTTAGCTAACACTCCTACAGTCCTGAGTCTGAATTAGAAATAGCAGGATGAAATTACAGGATAGTTGAGCTTCAAAAACCCAAAATTCTAACTCCGTCCATTGGAAAGTCCTAGAAACTATAACCAACCCCAAGCAGCGAGCACCCTAGCATTGCAGAGTATATGGTCTCTGTACGCAATTTCCCAATAAAAGGAACGAGAACCCACTGCCGTTAAGTTGATTCTGACTCAGAGAATCCCTATGGACAGGATAGATTGGCCCCATGGGGTTTCAAGGCTGCAATGTTTACAGATGAAGACAGCCACATATTTCTTCTGCAACCCAGCTGGTGGGCTTGAACCGACAACCTTTTAAAGATTAGCAACCAAACTCTTGACCATTATGTCAAGTATCTTGGAAAGACTGAACCCAAATGATGTCTGCATTGGTACTGTCCCAGAGAACTGTGTCATAACACAAGTTTTCTCTCTCTGCTAACTGGTCATCATTTTTGGCAGCTTAGTGTTTAAAATGTGGCTAGTAAAACTAGGTAATTTTAATTTTAATTAGCTCAAATTTAAATAGCCACATGGGGCCAGGGGTACTGTTTTGGATGGTGTGTCTATGTATGTAAGTACCAAACCACACGGAATAAGCAACAGAGGAAGCTGAGAAAACCACACTGTGTAAAATCTAAAGGACAAAGAACCCTGTTTGCAAGAGAAAACAGAGGAATGAAGGAGGAACCAAAAGACAGTTAAGGGACATATCAACCAATCACCCCCTGTTATTGCTGTTGTTGTTAGGGTGCCATCGAGTAGGTTCCAACTCACAATGACCTCATGTATAGCAGAATGAGACACTGCCCAGTCCTGTGCCATCCCTCAAATGCACTCCTACGTTTGAGCCGCTGGTGCAGCCAACTGTATCAGTCAAATTAATTGGAGGTCTTCCTTTTTTCCCTGACCTTCTACTTGACCAAGCATGAGGTCCTTCTCCAGGGGTTGACTCTTCCTGATAACATGGCCAAGTACATGAGATAAAGTCTTGCCATCCTTACTTCAAAGGAGCATTCTGGCTGCACAATTTGCGAGATGAATCTGTTCTTCTGGCAGTCCATGGTAACTTCAATATTCTTTGCCAACACCAGAATTCAAAGGCATCAGTTCTTCTACAGTCTTCTTTATTCACTGTCCAGCTTTCGCATACATACGTGGTGACTGAAAATAACATGGCGTGGGTCAGGTGTACCTTACTTAAGTCTTCTACGTGACATCTTTCTTTTCTAACTTCAAAGAGATCTTTTGCCCAATGTAATAAATGTGTCATTTGATGTCCTGACTGCTACTTCCACGGACATTGATTGTGGGTCCAAGTAAAACAAAATCTTAACAATTTCAGTCTTTTCTCCATTTATCTTGACGTGACTTCTTGGTCTAGTTGTTGAGTTGTAATTCATACTGAAAACTGTAGGCATTGGTCTTTATCAATAAGTGCTTCAAGTCCTCTTTGCTTTCCGCAAGGAAAGCTTTACCATCTGCATACTGCAGACGGTTACTGAGCTTTCCTGCAATCCTGATGTGGCGTCTTCTTTATAAAGTTGTTTCTCAGATTATTTGCACACAGAATGAGTAAGTATGTTGAAAGGATATAACCCTAACACACACCTTTTCTGATTTTAAACCATGCAGTGTTCCCTTGTTCTGTTTGAATGACTGCCTCTTAGTCTATGTAAAGGTCCCACATGAGCACAATTAAGTGTCTGGAATTATTCACAATGTTATCCATACTTTGTTATGATCCATACATTTGAAGGCCTTTGCAGAGTCAAGAAAAGACAAGTAAACATCATCCTGGTATTCTCTGCTTTCAGTCAAGAGCCATGTGACATCAGCAACAATATTTCTCATTCTGTGATATTTCTCCTCTTCTGAATCTGACTTGAATTTCTGGCAGATTCCTGTCCATGTACTGCTGTAACCACTTCTGAATGATATTCAGGAAAATTCTACTTGTATGTGGTATTAACGGTATTGTTCGATGACCTGCATTCTGTTGGATTGTCCTTCTTTGGGATGGGCATGAATATGGATCTCCTCTTCCATTCTCACCCTTCATGGTCCTGAAATTTGTTTCAGAAAAATCTGGGTCTAGAGAGAAGGAGGAGCTCTGGTAGAGCAGTGGATTACGAGTTGGGCTGCTAACCGCAAGGTCAGCCGTTCGAATCTACTAGCTGCACTGTGGGAGAAATATGAGGCTTTCTGCTCCCATAAAGGTTTAAAGCCTCAAAAACCCTATAAGGGCCGCTATGAGTTAGAATCAACTCCATGGCACAAAACCACCAGCACCAGCAGATAGGTAACGATGGTGAAGCAAGAAAAGACTGGCCAGGAGGTGGTCAGTGTAGGTGCTGGGCGACAGGGATGTGGGGCTTACTTGAATCTTCTCTCCACTTTCAGACATGCTTGGTATTTTCTATAAGAAAAAGCCAAACAGGACTATTCTCTCGCCTTTTCACCCTCTAGAACAGCAAAGGGCTAAAGCGGTGATCAGTCACACTTACACATGAAATACCGGAAGGCCTTGGACTTCACAAGGATATTAATTCCTATAGGAAGAGACAAATGGTAAAATCAAAATTTTATCTGGAAACATACCGTGGAAGACCAGGGGGATCTCTACCTAGAGGTGTGAAAGGAAAGATCTGATCTAAGAAGAGACTGCACTGACCACTGCTACTCTGAGGCCAACCTGGGCAGCCCAGAGTCAGGGTGAAGCTTTGGTGGTCATAGCGCAACTTCAATGGCGGCTCACCCCATTCTGAGGCTACTGTCTTCTAATTATCTGAAAATTTTCTTCAATAAATATTGCTTTTTATATAAAGAAAGAAACCACAAAACGTGTTCGCTTGGTTTTCAAGCTACCAGTTTCCTTCCTAGTCCAACATTTACTACCTGTTCTGTCTCTTATCCATGTGGACGTCCACACATATACACACATATAAGACACTTGCTCTTCAAATATGCATCTGTCATCTCTGGCTGTCTAGCCCCGTGAGCATGGTGCCATATTGGCTTCAGGCCAATCTTACCTTTAAAGATGAGGAAGGCCGTTCTGGGCAGCTCATCAAACCAGTGTTCTCGGTTTTTCTTTGCCTGGCCAGGAATAAGAGCATGCAATAGGGTGTTGGGGTTTCTCCCCTCCTTGCCCAGCTAACTTGGGGAACAATGTAAACATGCAGGAATCCCAACAACCACAGAGACAGCCAAATTGCTTGAAACTGCCGGAAGTCGACATTACTTTAATGCAATCTTCCAAACAGCACTCCAGGAAGGTACCACTGCATTCTGCAGGTGAGACAAGCCTTGCAAAGGGACAAAAACTTGCATGAAGCCACCCAGTGATGAGGGAACCTAGCTGGTGTTCTTAACCACAGCTCTGCATTGCAGTCGGAGGGGACACTGGGGGCAACTGTCTCTTCTTGAAGTACATGCCACCCAGCTGAGCCCTGAGCTGTTCTAGACTTTGCGTGCAGGGTGCTCCTGTCTGCAGCACCTACTCCACAGCACCCCAGCCCACTCCGCCCCTCTCTGGCCTAGTCAGAGCACTCACCTTCCACTTCAAGGCGGCGACCTCGTAGATGTCATAAAAGTCCTTGAGGCTGTCAGCAGAATGAGAAGGAAAAACAATCAGAGCATGTTCCGTGAGATTTCCGGCCTCTTGCTCACCTGTTTATGGCTACCTTTATGGCTGAGGGTGGGAGATGAGGAGGGGACATCTGTGAATCAGAGGACCCTGAGCCACAGGCATTTGAAGCTCACTTTTCCTTTGGGGACTATGAGCTCTTAATCCAGGTTGACACAGACCAACAGTTTTAACACTCCCTACTCCAATCCCCCCGAGGCAGCCCCCGTGACTAATTCTCAGATGGACAGAAATGCAGCATTGTTACCGCTGCACTGTGCACCAGCCACTGAGGCATCCAAGCACAGGAGCCTAGCACTGGTCGCGGAGACCTACGGGTCAGTCCTTTGAGGCAGTACCAGGCGCACTTGTGCATGTCCTCACTCTGTCCCTCGTGGCTACAGGGCACCCCTGCTTCCCAGAGCTAACTGCAGGGTCAGTCCATGGCTCAAGATGGTTGGTAAGACCCTCCCTGCCTCGCCAACTTCTGCTAGAGGTCTGCCACCCGAGCATGAAGTCGGCACCAGAGAGTTCGGGGTGCAGGAAGGACCAGGGCGAGATCCCTGAGTATCAGCATCCTGCTTCACCCTAAGCTTTTCATCCCATGAGCAGGACATGTCTTTTGTGGCAAGCCTTTCTTGTCACTGGCACAAAAATCCTGACACAGTCTCAGGGTATAAAGGTCTCCGTGAAGAAAACCAATTCTCTACCAAGTCTCTCTGCCATCTACCCACTAGCGCCTTTCACAGGCCCCTGCCCCGTCTTGTGAGCACTGGTCTGCTCGTGCTGTCTCCCCCAACCCCCGCAAGCCCCCCCAATACCCTGTTGGCTCTCACCTGAGTAGTGGTGTACTGCTCTGGTTCAGAGCCTTAAAAGTTAGGTAGCGTTCCCGAGTACTCATCCGGGGCTTGTAGAACCGCATCAGGCCCTCAAAGTGCCTGTAGGAGATGCCGGCGGGTCTCTGGGGAGACAAGTAGGGCTGTGAGACACTGGCAAATACAGGCCCCAGATGCTCCTTCCCAGGGCCCTGCTCCCGTGCTCTGGAGACCGGCCTCCTGGCCTCCAGAGTCACTGGCCACACAAGGCCTAGTAGGGGCACAAGAAAGGGAGCACCTGGCCCAGCCCCCTCCCAGCCCCAGGCCCTCCTACCCGCTGGCTGATGAGCAGGCGGTAGGCATGCTGGATGGCAGTTCGTTTATGCAGCAGCAAAGACTTGAATTTGCGCTTCTCGATGTCATTGAAAGTGTCGAACACCACGGCCAGAAGCTGGGAGGGAAAAGCAGAGATGTGGCTCCCATTCCTGGTGAACTTCTGCCCTCTGCTCCCAGGCAGGGCTGGCATGAGGCTGCCTCAGAAGGTGGTCTTCAGGAGATCCTCTTCCAGTACCTTGGGGTCTCCAAGTCTTTAACAGAGGAAAGCTACTCCGGCCACTGGTATATTTTCTGTCTTCAGATACATGAAGCCGGTTGCTATTAAATTTCCCCCAGTCCCCCTTCTTTCTAATCTACAGCAAGTCCTGGCTGGGCAGCTCTGTGGGGGAGGGGAAAGCAGGGAGAGCTGCTCTGCAGTCTCAGGGAAGGGACACCGCCATACGGCAGGGCATAACAGTCTGTTGTTGTTAGGTGCCATCGGGTCTATTCTGAGTCACAGTGATACTATGTACAACAGAAGGAAACATAATTGTTGCGTGTTTGAGACCATTGTTACCACTGTACCGATTCATCCTGATGGGGTCCTTCCTTTTTTACTGGCCTTGTACTTTACCAAGCGTGATGTCCTTCTCTAGGGACTGATCGCTCCTGACAACATGTCCGAAGCACAGGACAGGAAGTCTCACTATCCTTGCATTTAAGGAGCATTCTGGCTATACTTCTTCAAAGACAAATTTCTTGGTTCTCCCTGTAGTCCACAGTAGATTCAATATTCTTCACCAACACCATACCTCAAAGGTATCAATTCTTCTCTGGCCTTCTGTATTCCATATCCAATTTTCACATGCATATGAAGTGACTGAAAATACCATGGCTTGGATCAAACACATCTTAGTCCTCAAACTGACATCATCTTTGCTCCTCAACACTAAAGAAGTCTTTTGAAACAGATGTTCAAATGCGATCTGTCATTTGATTTTTTGACTGCTGCTTCCATGAGCAAGTAAAATAAAATTGTGGATCTAACTAAAATGAAATCCTTGACAACTGCAATCTTTTATCCGTTTATCAAACTGTCCAGTTGTGAAGATTTCTGTTTTCTTTAGTCTGAGGTATAATCCATATTGAAGGCTGTACTTGTTGAGCTTCTTCAGTAAGTGTTCATCTGCATGTCAGAGTCTTCCTTCAGTCGTGATGCCACGTTCTTCATAAAAACCAGTTTCTTAGATCACTCGCTCATCATACAGACTGAATCAGTATGGTGAAAGATACAACCCTGATGTACACTTTTCCTAATTTTAAACCGTACAGTATCCCCTTGTTCTGTCTGAACAGCTGCCTCTAGGTCCATGTATAGGTTCCACATGAGCACAATTAAGAATTCTGGAATTCCCATTCTTTGCAATGTTATCCATAGTTTGATATAATCCACATAGTCAATGAAATAGAAGGTAACATCCTTTTGGATGTTTTGAGGCACGATCCATCTGACATCTGAAATTATATTCGTCCATCCACAGCGTCTTCTGAATCTGCCTTAAATTTCTGGCAACTTTCTGCTGAGGTACCGTTGCAACCAGTTTTGAATGATCTTCAGCAAATTTTTGCTTGCATGTGATTAATATTGTTCTAAAATTTCTATTCTGTTGGGTCACCTTTCTTTGAAATGGACACAAATATGGATCTCTTCGAGTTGGATGCCCATCTGTCTTCTAAGTGTCTTGGCATAGACGAGTGAGCACCTTCAGCACTGCATCAGTTTGTTAAAACATTTCGATTTGTACTCCATCAGTTTCTGGAGTCTTGCTTTTAACCAGCACCTTAAGTGCAATTAGAACTTTTTCCTTCGATACCATCAGTTCTTGATCATGTGCTACCTCTTGGAATGGTTGAATACTGACCAATTTTGGGGGAGAGTGATTCTATGTATTCCTTTAATCTACTTTTGAAGCTTCCTGCACCATTCATATTTTGCTCACACAATCCTTCAATATTGCAACTCAAAGGCTGAAGTTTTTCTTTAGTTCTCTTAGCTTGAGAAATGCTGAGTGTGTGCTTTTCCCTTCTGGTTTCTAACTAGTCCCAAATATTTGCACATTTCAGCTTTTGCTTCCTTATTTCAGAATCTCTTCTGACATCCATTTTGTTTTTTTTTTTTTTCTTTCTTTCCTTGTCTTTTTAATGACCTTTTGCTTTATTCCTGTTCTTGATGTCATCCCACAACTCTTATGGTCTTCGGTTATTGTATCTAATGTATCAAATATGTTCTTGAGATGGTCTTTAAATTCAGTTAGGATATATTCAAAGTCATATTTTGACTCTCATGGACTTGTTTCAATTTTCTTCAGCTTCAGTCTAAATGTGTATATGAACAATTGAAGGTCAACTCTACAGTCAGCCCCTGGCCCTCTTTTGGCTGCTCATATTGAGCTTTTCCATCATCTCTTCCTACAGATGAAGTTGATTTGATTCCTGTGTATTGCATTTGGTGAGATCCACACGTATAGTTGCCATTTATGTTGGTGAAAAGAGGTATTTGCATTTGTCAGTGGTCTTGCAAAATTTTGTCATTAAGTCTCCAGCGTCATTTCTATCACCAACGCCGTATTTTCCAATTACCAATCCTTCCTCTTTATTTCCAACTTTCATATTCCAATCACCAGTAATGATCAATGCATCTTGACAGTATGCTTAATCAACTTCAGACTGCAGAAGTTGGTAGAATTCTTCAATTTCCTCATTATTGGCTTTACTGGCTGGTGCATACACTTCAGTAATAGTCATATTGGGTGTCATCCTATCACTAACAACATTAACACTACACTACAAAATAGATCTTGAAATGCTCTTTCTGACAATGAATGCAACACCATTCCTTAATTTGTCATTCCAAGCATAGTCAATGATAAGACTGTCGAATTCAAAATGGCCAATACCAATTCATTTCAGCTCACTAATGTCTAGGATATTGATCCTTATGCATTCCATTTAGCTTTTAACAACTTCCAAGTTTCCCAGTTTCCCACTTCGTAATTCCACCTTCCAATTATTAATAAGTGTTTGCAGCTGTTTCTTCTCATTTTGAGTGGTACCACATCAGTAAATGAAGGTCCTGAAAACAATGCTCCATCCATGTCACCGAGCCAGCTCTACTTTGAGGGGGTATTCTTTCTCTTGTCGTATTTTGAATGCCTTCCAACCTGAAGGGTCATCTTCCAGTAATGTATCAGACAATGTTGTGCTTCTCCTCAAGTTTCCAGTGGCTGATTTTTCAGAAGTGGTCTCCCTGTTCCTTGGTCCTAGTTTGTTTTAGTCTGGAAACTCTGCTGACATCTGCTCACCATGAGCAACCTTGCTAGTATTTGAACACACATATATAGGTGTGGTTTGGAAGAAGTTTGGACATATTATCAGGAGGGACCAGTCCTGGAGAAGGCTAGTGTGATTGGTAAAGTGGAGGGTTGGAGAAAAAGAGCAAGACCCCCAATGAAATGGATTGGCACAGTGGCAGCAGCAATGGGCTCAGGCGTAGCAATGATTGAGAGGTTGGCACTGGACCGGGCAGTGTTTCATTCTATTGTGCACAGGGTCACTATGAGATAGTACCGACTGAATGACATCCAGTCAGTACCGACTCATAGCGATTCTGTATAGGGTTTCAGAGGAGTGGCTGGTGGGCTTGAGTTGCTGACCTTGTGGTTAGTCATCCAGTGTTTATCCTACAGCGCCATACCAGATCTCCATAAAAATATATATTGTGTACACACAAACACACACACAATTTGTACCGTCCCCTTTAAAACTCTGAATCTCTAGTTTTCCTGAACCCAATGCAGTCTTTTCCATTTCTCCAGCTGTGCCTGACTAAGTCACAAGAACTCTTCAAATATAAACATAAACACCAGACTTTATCAACCCCTCTGATTGATTGAGACCTTGGGCCCTGTGGGTGGTCTCTACGCCAGCCTGCAGACCTCTTCTCTGGAGAAGCTGCGATGGGGGGGCGAGGAATGCACCCTATGGCCAACCGAGCCTCCAGACACCTCCCACATTCTCAGTGTGCATAGGGGTTTGACATTGCCTTAACAGAACTTCCGTGTTTGATGCTGTTTTTATAATGGGTGGTGACCAACGGGCTGGAAATACACCCAGTATTCTTAGCACAGGCACGCAACAGGGATGGACAGCTGAGCTCTGGAATAGGACCGTCCCTGCCCTGCCACTTCCAAGCTGTGTGGCCTGGGGCGGGTCACTCTACCAGCCTGACCCTGCTTCCACTTTTCTAAACTGGGTATCATAACCATCCCTCCAGGGTTGTTGTGCCAAATCATTTAATCATCATACACAAAGCACTTTGCTGAGCGCCTGGCTAAGGCTCAGTAAATGGCAGCTTCTGCAGTTTTTATAATACATGTTTGCTCCCAGAATGGAAGTGCCAGGGTACCCTTGATTAATTACAGCTCTATCAGCAGCAGCCTGTTTTCCCAGGTGCCTCTGGGTAGGTTTGAACCACTAATCCTTCTGTGCATTGTTCAGCACTCAACTATATGTACCATCCAGGCCTGGCTATATGGTTATGGAAGGTCAAAGCCTTGAAAACCCTGTGGGGCACGGGCCTACTCTGCACACACAAGGTGGACTTGAGGGTCACTAACAATAACCAGCAGTCACAGCCTGGTCAACGAGGCATCTACCCCTGGGACCCCGCTGAACTCCCCAACACTGCATTCCACTTCCTTTCCAACACTCTGCCCTCAGAAGCTCGTGGCTGGGACCCCGCTGAACTCCCCAATGCCCGTGGGACCCCACTTGAGATCCCCAACACCGTGCTCCACTTTCTCCTCAACACTACCCTTAGAGGCTCATGGCTGGGATCCCGCTGAACTCCCTAACACCTCTGGGACCCCACTGAGCTCCCCAACACTGCACTCCACTTCCTCCTCAACACTACCCTTGGAGGCATGTGGCTGGGACCCTGCTGAACTCCCCAATGCCCCTGAGACCCCACTGAGCTCCCCAATACCACGCTCCACTTCCTCCTCAACACTACCCTTGGAGGCTCGTGGCTGGGGCCCCACTCCACGGCTCAGATGTCCTTCCCCAGTGTTCTGCCCTGGGAGGCTCCACTCACCAGGTTCATGATGAAGTACAGCTCGATGGAGAGGTACACGATGAAGAAGACACAGGACCAGGGGTTCCGCGAGTACGAGGGCATCATCACATCTGGGAAACTGAACATGAAGACATCACTCATAGGGTCTGTGTCAGCCTGTCCCCACGTCTCCAAAGACAGGCCTTACAAAGGACTTCTCTTGTTCTACCCTCCCAGTCTCCATACCCACCCTTGCCCCCACCAGTCTCCTCTCTGTCTGTGGACTGCAGCGTCTCCATGCCAACCCTGTCTCAGCAGCACCCCTCACTTCTGTGCTAAGAGGTGGTAATGTCCCTGGGGCACCAGCAGAGGGCAGAAGTCAAAGCCCCACTTACTTGGCTGTGGTCAGAAGGACAAACAGGCTAACGATGCTGTTCTCCAGGGTGTTGAAATACTGTAGGGGGCAGAAGTCAGAAGCATCTGAGGCTGGCCGCGCGCACACACACAGCAGCCAGGAACAGGCTGTGATGGGTACCTCGAATGCCTCCGCACTCCCTCCCCACCTGGCTCCTCCCATGGAATCCCCAAGGAATGAGAAAATGGGGAGAACACGGGCCTCTGCCTCCCTGAACTCAAGGCTTCTGGCAGAAGCACGCAAACAACTTTGGGGGCAATTAGCTAGACTCTTCTCCACTGTTCTGCCACCGAGATGTTCCAAGGCTGACCCTGGAAATATCTCAAGGACAGGAAAGGGAGTTCCCTGAGCTCTTAGGGAAGGAGTCTGCACAAATCTACATGAGGTGGGGATTTGTGGGTATTACTGACTATGATGAGAAATCAGGCAGAGCCTCCCTTTCTAGGGGGTCTAAGGGGAAAGGCCTCACATGAAAGTACGAAGCAGACAAACAGGCTGACTACTTACGGGGTCCGAAGGATTAGGGGAGAACAAGTAGAAACCTAAAAATGAAAAGGTTAGAGCAGAGATTACAGCCCAGGTCTCAAAAGGCCAAATCAATGAGTGCAGTGGGCTGAGGGGGGGCAACAATGTGTGCTCTGTCTCTAGGGACCAGGTGCCACTTGGCATCAAATGACTGCTGCCAGGCGGGAATGTGGCCCAAGAATTGTTGCGTCTATAATAACACAGGGCTGGAGATTGGCACTTTTATGCAATTTTCATGTAGGCTTGAATTTTTCAAACCAAACAAACACATCTGCTGGCTAACTTTGCAATCCAGATGGCTGGTGTGCAATCTTTGGTTTTCAGAATATGAGAGCCAAGTGACAGTTCCAAAGGGAGCCCACTGTTGCCCTGTGGCCAAACCTTCTGGGCTGAGACCACCATGACCTCCCTTCCTCTCAAATCCCAGGGCTTTTTAGTGAGACAAGCGAGAAACTCTACCCTGCGAAGTCCGTCTAGCTGGGGAGGCACAGATGACTGCCAGAAACAGCAGAGGGGAAGTGGGAGCCGATGGCTTCCTGGGCTGGGCTGGGGCAGGCACGAGGGATGGGTGGGGTGGGGGGCCCAGAGTCAGGACTTGGGTTGCCTTGCACCACCGTTCAAGCAGTCCCAGAGGAGGGACCTGTGGTTGGCTGTGTGTGTTAGGCGACTCTGCCACCAGGCCTGTGTCTGGATGTGGGGCCATATCAATACACAGCCTCATCAGCAGAAGCCAGACCTGAAAGTGGCAAAGGATGTGACCCTGCTTTACAAGGGAGCATGCAGGTTGATAAAAGAGACAGAACAGCAATGGACTGAAGTCCAGGGACTGAGTAATGCAGTGTGCCTACAGGCAGGAGGTTGGCTTATAAAATGTGTCCTTTGGACATTTAAATGGAATATACATTTACAATGTAGTGTGTGTACATAAAATTTTTTAAAAAAAAAGGTAATGGAGGTAAAGACTATTGGCTAATGGTGCACGGAGGGAATCGCAATTATTAAAATGATTTGTTGAATGTAAAACTGGTGATCTACCCTGTAAGCCTTCACTTACTCAATACACAATAAAACCTTTAAAAAAAGAGACAGCATGCAGACTGAGACTCCACATACACCAGCTCGAGACACTCTGGTGCATGGACCCCAGGAAACACACGAGAGGGTTCACAGCAGAGGTATGTGTGACAAAGGCGCAGCATCCTGGGGACAGGTAAATGTTCACATTAACAGGTCACTATGCATCAGAGGAATGAATGACCCTTGTCTCTGTGCGCCAACTTGAATCAATGCCAGAAACATCACGTAGTGCCCGGCAGAAACTTGCAGAAGGAACGCTCGGTTTGTAATGACTTATATGAACGCTTTCAACATGTAAAGCAATTCCATTTGTTGTGTAATGAATTGTCAGGAGGAAGTAAGTATGGGAGAGCATGGGCGTGAGAAACTCAGGATGGCGTGGTAGGGGGTGGACACAGATGGGGACTGAGATTCATTTTCTAAGTTGTACAGCGAGGCAGGGGGTAAACTTCTGTCATGAGAAATCCCTTCTGAATCTCCAGACACGTTGCAAGCGCTGCTTCTTCCCTGCAGATGGACAACTCACCGAGGATGGCGAAGATGATCATGAAGAAGAGCAGAAGCAGTAGGATGTCCATGAAGGGCGGCAGGGACTGGAAGATCTGCCGCAGGTTCCTGTGGGGGAGACACAGGCTGGACTTGCTGCCTGGGGCCCCTCGGTAGAGTGCTCCCTTGTCCAGGCCGGGGAAGCTCCTGACTCAGGAGTATGAGATCCCACGGCACCATGACTGCTTGTAACTCGGGGCTTTGTGCTGTCCTACGGTGGTGGCTTCTTGAGACTCCTCCGCTCAGCGGGTGATGGGGTGGACCCAGGTGGGTGCAACACTGACTCAGCCACCCCATCCTCCTCACAAATCCCAGACAGGAGGGTCCACTGCATAGCCCTGCCCGAGGTGCGGGCTGCACAAAGCCCTGGGACACTTGCTTCTGGCTTTGTGGGTGGGCACAAAAAATCAATGAACCCACTGCCATAGAATCCACTCTGACTCACCGTGACCCTGTTGGACAGAGTAGAACTGTCCCTTTGGGCTCCAAAGGCTAGAACCTTTGTAGAACTACACACTCATGTCTTTCTCCTGAAGAGCAGTGGGTGGATCCAACCACTCGGTTAGCAGCTGAGTGTTTCAGCGCTGTGCTCCTAGGGCTCCTTACGAATACATAACCACCGTCGCCAGCAGTACCCTTGCCACATGGTTTTCCAGGGGGCGTTTTTCAGGTGGTCACATGGCTGAGGGTAAGCGATGTGCTGTGTGCTCTATTGAAGTACCGTGCTGATCATGTGCCGATGGACTCATAGACTCTGTTGTGCCAGCCCAGCGGCGTGGACCAGGCCATGATAGTGCCTAACTCGCCAGTGCCTCCCCGGGCCTTACCGCCGGACACCGCCGCAGTACCGACAGTCCACCAGGAAAATGCATCGCAGGGCCCGGGTCACTCGCATGTGAGACGTCTGCCGCACCAACACCACAATGGCTTCGATGAACTGGACCACCAGTACGGAGGTCTGTGGGGGGGTGATGGAGCAGCGTCAGGCCCCGCGAGCCCCCAGTCCCCGCCTGAGCACCCTGAACTGAGGACTGCAGAGTTCGCCTCCCTCCTTCCACCTCTCTAGTACCTTCCACCAACTCCCAGGGCCTCCTCAAGAGAAGAGCCCATAGCTGTGCGGCCATAGGAGGCTGGACCCCAGGGGTGCCCCCGGCAGCTCAGACTATGGAAGAGAGGGTCAGAAGGCCAAGTCTCCTCTTGACCTTCTCCTGGTCACTCAGCTCAGCCCTCCTGCTCCAGGAAGTTGCCCGATGACCAGCGTGTGTGCCACTTATACGGCGCAGGACCACAGACCCACTCCTGCAGACACCTGGGACCATCAGTGTGGGCATGGGACCCCCACCTCTGGGATTCAGATTCTATATTATCTGACTCAAAATAAAACCAGAAAGCAATGCATCTCCCTCAAAGGTGACCCTGGTGATGACCAGCCCAGGGTCCAGCACGAGCGCTTGCCAGCATCACCATACTATCCAAGTCCCTGGTGAGACCAGGCTCGATATGACCCTTCTGGGCTAAGACTAGACTCAGGGAGTTCAAAACTGAAGCGAAGACCCTGGTTTGAGGGTGATGGGGAGGAAGTGCTGTAAGAAGAAGGTCAGACACATCACCTTGACCATGGTCCGTTTGTGCCGGATGAAGGTATGGAGGCCCAGCCAACGCAACTTCATGCAGAGTTCAAACACCACCACCATCAGGGCGAGCAGCTCCAGGGTGGCATGGACCTGCAGCCAGGGGATGGAGAAGGTCCTCACGTATGTCCCTCCCACAGGTCCTGGCCTCTCTCAGGATCTGGGGGACTGCACAGGCCCCCTATCCATGCACACAAGTATGTACACACTCACAGGTCACAAAACCAGCCCTGGATGCCTAGAGACACAGCCTTGGCCATGTGGTTTTTCCCAGAACACCTGAACCTAACCTTGATAATCATGAAACCTACGCACTGACGCATACACTGAAGAACTAAGGAGACCGTCTGAAAGTAAAAAAGTAAATGGGATGAAAATTTATATGGAGGTTTGTTCCAGGAAGAATTTCACATTGTTTACAAACAGACTCATAAAATACACGAATCAAATACCAACTGAAATTCACTGCTGTTGAGTCGCTTCCGACTCTCAGCGGCCCTGATGGGCAGAGTAAAGTGTCCTGTGGGGTCTCTGAGGCTGTCATCTTTATGCAGCACACAGCGACACCTTTCTCCTATGGAGAGTGGCTGGTGGGTCCCAACAGCTGATCTCCTGATTAGCAGACAAGTGCTTTTAACCATGGCATCACTATGGCTCGTAAAATATACTGAGGCAGCATGAAGTGGGGCCTAAACTGAAGAGTTATGTTTAAAAACTGAGAGGAAAAACTACCAATATTTACCTGAGCCTCTGAGAGTCCAAGAATCCCTGGTAACCCTCACTGCTCACTTGGCTAAAATGATAGATGTGCCTCTTTCTATGTAAGGCTGACCACAGCTTCTTGGGGTGGGGGCACCTCCTCAGCTATCCCATGTGTCCCTGAAGCAGGGTGGCCCTGAGAAGAGCTGACATGGTCCCTGCCTCGTGGAACTCCTAAAGGGACATCAAGGCCTCTGAGACCAGATGTGGGGGATCAGATCCAGCTGTAGATGGAGGTCTCCTGGAGACTCAGAGGAGGAGCAGGTGCTGAAGGGGTTCAGGGATGGGAAACGGCTTCCTTGGTGGGGTGGCGGTGTAAGGGTGCGTGAAGAGGAAGGAGGACAGGTCAGTTCGGAATGGCCAGTGTTGAGGGAGGAGAAACTGATTTTAAGGGACCACGAACCCCAGGCTGGATGAGATAGCCACAAGTCTGAAAAGACAGGAGACCACCCCCTGGACAGAGTGGGAGACAAATGTGGAACAAACTCTGGTCTGGACCCCCAAGAGTGGATTTTAGGCACCTTTCTAGCGTGGAACTAAATCCACCCACGGAATCACTGTTCTGACAAACAACAGACAGAATTGTCACGTGCGCATGAGGAACATACTCCTTAGAACAATGAAACCGTATGAGACCAAAAGCTCAGCATTTGCCCAAAAGCAAAGCGCAGAAGGGGCTTGGAAGATGGGCTAATAGAAATGTGTAGTCCAGGGAGGAAGAGGGAAGAGTGTTGTTACACTGAGTGGATCTCAATCAATGTCATGGAACACTATAAGTAGACATTCTTGAATCTGGAGTCCTGGTGTAGTGCTGTGAGTTAATGTGCTGGACTGCAAAGTCATGTGAACTGCAAGGTTGGTGGTTCAAGCTCACCGGCCGCTCCTCAGAAACCCTATACAGAGTCGCTATGGGTTGGAACCGACTCGACGGCACTTAACAACAACAATACATTCTTGAAGAGGCAACTGCATTGCTCTTTAAGCTTTTGCCCGTATCACAGCGCCCAGTCTTCCACACCTCCCCTGCGAAGAGTGGAGAGGGGTCTCCACTGGCAGCCTTGGTGGGCCTCTGACCACAGCCGAATGCTGAGGGTGGATCCAATGTGCTGGGGCTGCGGCGGGCAGGGCATGGACATGTGGGGGCTGGTCTTGTGCCAGGCCAGCCTGGAGGGGAGTGTGAGCAGAGCCACAGAGCAGTGAAGGGCCCTCAGTGTGGGACCCTCATGGCTCAGCGCCTCTCGGTTGTTCATCTGTGTGCAGAGTCACCCTTCCAAAATGTCCCCCAGCCAGGGAGCAGGGCCACTCACGTAAATGCCCAGCCGGAGCGCAGGGACGGCGGGGGCCTCACACAGGGACAGTAGCAGCAAGAGCAAGGCCGTGGACAGCTCCATCAGGTAGAAGAGGTGGTTGTGTGCAAAGAGGTAGGCTGCCAGCGCTTTGGCGTTCTTGGGGTGGGTGAAGAACTTATCATTATTCTCGCCTTCCTGCGGAAACAAGAGCCACGTGAGCACCCAAGCCTGGGCGGGGGCTGGGGACTGAACACGGGACATGGGAATGATTGTCTTCACAGAGCGGCCTGTCAGGTGAGCTCACCCGATTGCTGACAAGACTCAGGAAGACCTGCTGCCTCTGAAAAGCCACTCTGAGGAGTCTGACAGCACCAAAGACACAAAGGCCCTGAGAGGAGGGGACAGAAGTACCCAGTGACTCTGGGGTTCTGTCGGGTCCTGAGAAACACTGAGCAAGTCCCTGCCCTTAGCTGAACCACAACCTTCCCACCCTCAAGGAGCAAACACTGACACCTGTTTATAGGACTACCAGAAGGATAAAATGCAATGACATCTGATAAGACACACATGACAGGGGCTGGTACACAACAAGTTCCCCACAGTTAGCGAATTGACTGACAATGAGAGGGGGGAAATGAAGGCAGTGACCAGACCTAGTCAGATCTCTTCACATCATCTATGAACTCAGCTGCTAACTGATAAATAGGTCAGAGGTGCCTTGGAAGAAAAGCCTGGTGAGTTACTTGGGATCCAGACAGCCATTGAAAGTCCAATGGAGCACAGTTCTACCCTGAAACACATGGAGTGTCACCAAGAGTTAGATTCAACTTGACCACAACTCTTCTTGTTTTGTTTTGAACCCCGGCGGGGTATCAAATTTAGCCCTGTCCAAGCTTTCCAACACCTCTTTTCTTATTGGTGTCGAGATCTCTTGGCTATTCTTCCTAATTTACTAACTCCTGCAAAATGGAGGGCTTTGCAGACTTACTGAGCCCACCCTCAATTCCTGCCCCTATAAGCTGTGGCTGACAGGGGCAGAATGCTCACCACATACCAGGTGCCTACTCAGAGCTGGCCAGCTCCCCTCATTTAGTCCTCACAACACCCTGTTCAGGGGAGCAACCACTTCATACCATTATGGGGCACAGAGAGCCTCAGTGATGCCTGAGGTTACAGTCCCAGAGGACCCGAGTGCCCTCCTGCTGGCAGACAAATCAAGGGCACTGGCCAAGAATGTCCACTTGGGGACACCCAAGGCCACTGCTGAGTGTCTGGCAGGACCTGGGGGCTGGGGGTTGTTTCGTGACATCCTCAGAGTTGGTGGGCACAGGCTAAGTAGGGAATTGCCCCACCTCATCAGTACCATTCCCTAGCACGTGCTTGGCTCACATGTTTTGCATGCTTTTGTGGTTCTCAGCTGGGGTGATTTGGCCCCCAGCCCTGGAGACATTTGTCACATGTGGTGGTGGTGGTGATGGGGGTGCTGTCAGCATCTAGCAGGTAGAGGCCAGGGAGGCTTCTAAACTCCCCAAGGATATGGAGGACAGTTTGTGAGTCTGGCCAGACTCAGAAAGGCAGGAAGACCCCCCCTCCATTCCTTCTAAGGAGCACACTGACCCTCAGGGTAGAGACTGCTCCTCTTGACTCTCACAGTGGGGGCAGTGATCTGAGAGAAGCCCTGTGCGTGGATAGTTGAGAGAAGCAAGTGGGGGAACCAGAACTTGAACCTGGGATCCGACCCCTTTCACCAAGAGGCCTTCATAAAGCACCCAGCTACCACTAGAAAGCAGATGCACCTTCAGATGCTCTGGGAGGAGGTCACCCTAGCACCCAGAGACCCTCCTGCCCTGGCAGGCTAAGCTAACACCCAGCACAGAGGTGCCCGCAGGAATCCCAGGACAGATTAGCAGGAGAAGCATTTCGGGGCCGTGGAAAGAGTTCTGGCCCGGTGGGCTCCTGTGCTAGCTCATCAGGGGCTTCAGTGTACACAGCGGAGTCAATTCTGACTTGTAGTGACCCGACAGGACACCATAACCCAACAGAAGTGGAATCACTCCACAGGGTTTCCAAGGCTATCATCTTTACAGAAGCCACATCGTTCTCCTAAGGAACAGCTGGTGGGTTTGAACCACTGACCTTTTAACAACTGCTCCTTCCTGCTAGCCACAGTAGATGTTTTATAAACCTAAACACCCCTCCTGACTCACGGAGACCCCATATGTTACAGAGGAAAACGGCACCATTAGGTTTTCTTTATAGAACAATCACCAGGCCTTTTATCTGAGGTACCTCTGAATAAGCTCGAACCATCAACCTTTTGGTTAATAGCTGATCTTGGCCCACACGGACCTCGTTGTTATAGATGTCTGGATGGGGGCTGCCCAGTAGCTTAGGAGGCTGTGAACCCCTATGCTAGTGGTTTGCTGGGTCATTCTGAAGGGAGTCACTTCTCTAAAGCTGGGGATGTCACGCCCCTCAGCAGAAAAAAAGAAAGGCAAACCCAGAGAAAGAAGTAAACATCTCAGCAGCCAGGCTGAGGGCCTGTGGCCAGCCTTCCTCTCAGTCCCATGGCCAGGGGAGGGAACACACACAGTGGCCTGGGAACCTTCTGGTTTGAATTCTTAACAAATGCAATTTCTTCCAAGCCATAGCTAGGAATGCAGGGCTGGTTTGAGGCAACCACTGACAGACACTTGTAGCTGGTTCAACCCCCTGCTGAGAGCTTCCCTCTCCACCCCAGATACACAGAATCTGAATCACATTTTAACAAGATCTTCCAGATGATTCTTACATATAATAAATGTTGAGAACCCTGGCTCCAGTAATGCTTCTCAGAATTGGGGCCTAACTGGCAGCATTAGGAGGAGCCTGGGAACTTGTTAGAAATGCAAATTCTCTACAGAGGGTTGAACCTGAATGAACCTATTTGAAGCCAAAGACATGGAGGAATGGGGGTGGGAGACTGGTCTTGGATTTTAACTGTAAGACTTGGAATTGCCACAGAGACGTTGGGACAAGATCATCACTGGCGAGGATGGAATGAAATATTAACCATGTTGTGGGATTCAGTGCCAGGACCCCAAAGGAGAACACGAACCTTGTTTCCTGGCTGCGGGTCACGCACTAGATTAGGAACAGAAGAACTCAGGCCAGCTGGACATGACTTCAGTCTCCGCTCCCTGGGGTGGGACGTGACGCCACCAATGAGGGCTGTCTCAAGGCACTCAGCTCCCAAGGGTGAGTGGCCAGGAGGTGAGGCCGCAAGGCTGCGGACGGCCTCGAAGCAGGGAGTGGCCAGTTCTCGGAGTACATTCAAAGCCTGCGGTAGGCTTAAGGATGAAGTTGTCTAGACTAAGTAACATCAGCCTCCAAACATAGCTGTGGATTTCCCTCCATAGGGGCCTGAGTGTGGCTTGCCTTTTATTTTTATACTTTTTACAAAGTGAAGCTACATGTTTTGGTCAGATCATTCAAATGGCACTGAGGATTAGAAACCATGAAATGACTCCCAAATTTCATCAGCCAGAGATGAACATCAGCATTCTGGATGTGCGTGTGTGTCTGTGCGCGTACACACACACACACACACTCACACACACCGGACACAGATGTGTGTCTTCAGCTTTGTATGTGTACATTTTATTTTCAAACAGAAGCCTCCTCTTCCCTGCCTGCAGGCTCTGAGGACTGGTGGGCCGGGGCCAGGGCCAGGAAACGCTCACCTGGAGGTAGATGGCTGCCTCTTGGTAATTCATCTCCCAATTGTGGCTGGTGGGGCTGGAGGGGGGACTGTCACCCCCGGAGCTCAAGCTGGGGTCCCGGGAGTCGCTGATAGCATAGTGGCCCCCATCTGCATTGAAGGAGTGAAAGGGTCACTTCAGCTAAATAAGGCTCCAATCACTAGGAGAGCCTTGTCTGCTTGCACACACACCGCCCCCACCCCCCTTTAGAGAGGGACAGCTGGTTTCATTGCCCTTCACACGTATGCCAGTATTTTACAAATGGGTGCTTTGTGGCAACCTTGTGTCGAGCACATCTTTTGGTGCTGTTTTTCAAACAGCATGTTCTTACTTCATGTCTCCGTGACAAGTTCATTCTCACAATACTTCAAAGCTTTTCTTTTTTCTTGATAAAAAGAAACATTCTGTGATGGTTACCAGGGAATGGGGGCGGAGGGACTTATTCATGGGCTAGAGTGTAGACACGTGTTAACATGGGTGACAGGGCAGGAAATAAACAAGAAGGACATTGGCGGAGGAATGAGCACAGGGAGGAGAGCAAGAGTTACAGAAATGGAGGTAAATGATGTTGACTGATGGTCCATGGCGGGGATTCCAATCATTATAATGGTCAATGATTTGTTGAATGTAAAACTGAGGATCGGCTCTGTAAACCTTCACTCAATTCACAATAATAATAATAACTTTTCCTTAATATTACTGCATACTTTCTAGACGATAGTCTAGTGTACACGTAACTTTTACAAGCACTGGGAAACCCCCAAATATCGTATGACTCACTTTATTGTGACAATGCGGTGGTTGGGAATTGAACTCACAATAACTCCAAGATACGCATGTATACCGGCCAGCAAGAATTACCATGGCTTGGATAAGGGATGCTACATGGTGGGGATTGCAATCAGTGAGATGAAACAAAATGTGTATGAATTGTTGGATAGAAAATTGATGATCTGCTCTGCAAACCTTCACCCAATTCACAACAAAAAGTTAAAACAATAACAACAGAGAGAATTACTATGGCTAGTTCAAATTTTTTTCATTCTCTTGCTATGAAGGAAGGAAGAAAGAAAACATACATGTATCTGGTTATTGGTATAAAAATACAGGGAAGATGATATATCACATCACAACTCAGTGAAACTTGTTCCCAGAGGTGAGGGAACCCAATAGAAGTAGATATAGACTTCGGGCTCTCGGAAGCATGTGAGTTAAAAAATAATAATGGCTACATTTGAAACCTGAGTGCAGGGTCATGGGGTCTCTTCCCTGCTTGACTTCACCTACTTGCTTGCCAGCTGGGTAAGGCCTCTCCTCTGCTTCAGCTAGTCTGGCCCTGGTTGCCTCCAGCCCTAGCTGCATATGTGGCTTCAGGCCTGGCAAGCAAGGGTTGGTTCCGGCCCAGCAGAGGGCAGAAAAAGAATTCTGTTTTAGATTAATTATAAAACGAGGAGCCCTGGTGACGCTAATGGCAAAGCATTCCACTGGGAGCCAAACAGTTGGCGATTCAAACCCACCCAGCGGCTCCACAAAGGAACGGCGTGGTGATCAGCTCCTGTAAAGATCACAGCCTAGCAAACGTCATGTGGCACTTCTGTTACATGGGGTGCTAGGAATGGGAGTGGACTCAACAGTGCCAGCAAAAATTAGTTGCTGGTGACTGTCACGGGCGCAGGAAGAGCCTGGCTGAGCAGGAAAAGAAATGGAAAGACTGCACCAGCTGAGCCTCAACTCCACCCCTAACTTCTGCAAAGTCTGTACCAATCCAGGGCCTTTGTGCTGGGCCCATGTGAGTTCCACGATGAAAGCCTTGAAAATCCTCTGTGGTGGTTCTGGTCTGTCCACTGGATCACTATGGGTCAGACTGGACTCGATGGCAGTGGGTAATCTTTATGGAAGCAGACCGCCCAATCTTTTTCCTGCAGAGTGGCCAGTGCGTTGAAACCACTGATCTTTCTGTTTGCAGCTGACCACGTAACCACTGCATCACTGTTGTTGTTGTTAACTGCTGTCAAGTCAGTTCCGACCCATAGCTACCCTGAACAGGGTTTCCGAGGCTGTAAATCTTTACGGGAGGAGAAAGCCTCCTCTTTCTCCCACGGAGCAGCTGGTAGTTTCGAACTGCTGACCTGGAGGTTCACATCACTAGGGATCTTTAATTGAGGTATGTTGTGGTTGTTAAGTACCGCGGAGTCGGTTCCGACTCATAGTGACCCTGCACAGGATTTTCAAGGCTATAAATCTTTACAGGAGCAGAATGCCTCATTTTTCTCCCACTGAACCACTGGTAGTTTTGAACTGCTGCTCTTGAGGCTGGCATCCCAACTCATAACCACTACGCTACCAGAGCTCCTTTAATTGACGGATTAAGTGGCATATAATAAACTGCACAATTTGATAAGGTTTGGCATATATAAATAACCATGGAAACATCACTACAATCAAGATAATAAATATAACCATCACCCCTGAAATTTCCCTTCTGTCCCCCTAAATCCCAACCTCTAGGCAATCACTGATCTACTGTCTGCCATATAGAGTCAGTAGTTTTTAGAATTTGCTATCAATGAAATCATAGTTTGTTGTTCCGACTCATAGAGACCCTGTATAGGTTTTTTGAGGCTGTAAATCTTTGAGGGAACAGAAAACCTCATCTTTTTATGGCAGAGAAGCTGGGGCGGGGGGGTGGCTCGAACTGCTGACTTTGTGGTTCGCAGTCCGGTGCTTATCCTATAGAGTCACCACAGTTTCTTTCATTCAGCAAATTGTTGAATTTCATCTGTGTTCACTGAACATAACCACTGAGCTGTGCTCTATTACATGGATGTACCAGTGAGTTCATCCAGCTCCTGCTGATGGATACTGGCATCATTCCTAGGTTTGGGGTATTTCACATAGAGCTGCTATGCTCAGTCTTGTGTGGGTTCCTGTCTGCTTTTGTTTCTCTTGGTAAATAACTAGGAGCGAAATACCTAGGTTAGGTATATACTGTACCAGACGGCTCACAATACCATCATGTCGTGATTACTGGGTAGCTGTGCACGTCAGGTAGTGTTGGTCCTCCCACTTGCTTGTCTCGTTCAAAGATGAGTTCTCTGCCCCGGTGCCTACAGAGTGGCGTCTCCCAAGTGTGCCCTTGATGCTTGCTTGTGAGAGAACCAAGCTTCAGGCAGAGACAGGAGAAGGTCAAACCACCTTCCTCAATCTGTTCCCGTGGATCAGAGAAGCATCAGCCAAAGGGTGGCTCCCGAGTAGGGAGAGCCTCTGACGGACGCCTCTGATGGACTACTGGAGGGGCTGCACCCTTGTGTGCCCTTGCCCCATCCTCCTCGACCTTCACACCCTGCTGCAGTCGCCAGCTCCAGCTCCACAGCAGAGTCCTGAGTTAAATAAATCTAGTGACAGAGCGACTGGGGCGGCGGTGTGGGCACAGATGGCAGCAGACATTAGTGTCACATTCCCACCCTGCATTAAAGAGTGAAGTGTCGATGGGAGGCCCCCCCCCGCCTGGAAGACACCCCATCTGAGCCTTCCTGGAGATCTCAGCAGATTGAACCAAGCATCTTCTTCCTGCCCTCTCATTCCCTTGGCCTGTCTCCCTTTTAGTCCTGTACCACCTACATCCTTAAGCACCACTGGACAGGTGGTCTAAAGCACCATGTGATGTTTCTAAGTGTCCCAGCACAGGTGAGAGCTGCCTCCTCTTCCCTGGCACACAATCCCCCCAAAGCCCCCACACAGAGCTTTTGAAATAAGCCCACGATGACCCTGGGGACAGGGAGGAGGACTGTCCTCAGAGACAGAAACTTGGACACCACCAGCCTCACTCTGCATGGCAGGTCAAAGTGGGTCTCCTCCCTCACACTGACCACTTCACAAGGGCCTCCTTCAGACTGCTTCCTGCTAGCCGGGCCCAAGCAGCTTGCTGCAGGTGAATTCTGTGAAACTTAGTCATCACGGAACTCTGCTGCTTCCAGCCACCAGCAAGCAGCCTGTCGTCAGAGCTAGATTCCAACTCTTCAGCATGCAAGCACGCAGAACCCCAGGTAGGCCTCTGTGCTACAGAGCACAGATGACACCGAGACCGTGAACATCATATCCTCCAAGGGCAGACAAGGTCAGGGGTGGAGGTCAGAGGAAGGGCAGTTTCTGCTCGATGCACAGAGAGACTTTGTGATGCACACACAGCCCAGGGCCTCAAGAAGGGGTTCCATGGCCATTATGGGGCTGGTTTCTAAAAGGGAGGCTCACATGGCAGGGGGATAGTTTGGCTGGCTGTCCTTCCATCTTGTAGCATCTATGCATCTGCGGCTGTACAGAGGTTGTGAGGGGAGACAGGATGGAGGATGCAGAGGGCCTCCTTACCAACAGCTCAGAGTCCATGAGCCGTCCTTGTGGGTCAGTAGGGTCCGATCACCACTGACTGCCTGGCCACATGGAGAGGACCTAGCTCTCACTTCCTTCCCGCCAATGTATGCAGTCCAAACCTGAGTAATCCACGTCTGATGGCACTGCAAACAATCTGTGTGCCACGCATGTTGTTGCTGTTAGCTGCCATTAAATTGGCCTCTGGCTCATGGCAACCAGCCTACAACAGAATCCGCTGAGGATATGACCATTGTGATCTAGGGGGTTTCATTGGCTAATTTCTAGAAGGAGTTGATTAGGCCTTTCTTTCTGGTCCATCTTCATCTGGAAGGGACACTGAAACAGGTCCAGCCTCCTACAATAGGCACGTCTCCAGTGATGGACAGGTGGCAGCTGGGTAAGAAGTGTGCTGGCTGGGACCTGGACCTAGGGCTCTCCCGTGGAAAGGGAGAATTGTACCACTGAAACACCACTGTCCCCACCAGTGCCAGGCATACATACATAAATATACGCAAAATCCAAGCCTCACAACAACCTTGAGAGGCTAATACAATTTGTTGTTCTCCCTGTTTTACAGCTTAGGGACCGAAGCACAGGGAGCCCAGGGTTACATGTTTACAAAGTGATGGAACTGGGAAAGGGCCCAGATCAGTGCTGGGAACTGAGCGTTGCTCCTTGTGTTACTCGGATGGAAATGTCTTCTCAAGATACAGGTCAACTTGGATAGGCCATGACCCCTACC